TTGAACCGAACGTGTGACCCCACCAATGGATTCCTCGTTCAAAGAGCAATCCATTGGTGGGGTCACACGTTCGGTTCGACTCCATTTAGCGACTCTCGAGCTCAAAACGCGTCTAGAGTTTTGGCCGCTCCGCCTGTCTTCTGGCCCACTGTGGCTCGCCCGTGGTGTCGCCGGTTCACTTTGGGGCACTTCTCGGCGTCCTCGGGGCGGTGCTCCGTCGCACTGCGCGCAGGGTCTTCTTTTTGGTGCAGTTGGAGCCGCACCCCTTTGCGTACAGTGCAGCAGCCTCGAGTGCCTCTCCGCCACCCCGGTCCAGACCAGTCAAGACGCCGTGCCGCTGCACTGTGTGGCGAAGCAGGCGAAGCTGCTGTCTCTCTCGCACCCGCTGCTTGGCGGGCCAGCGACAAGGACCCCTGCCCGGACAGTGCCCGGCGCAGTGTTACAGTGTCACACACCCCACAGTGGATTCGCCAGAAGACCGGTGGAGCCGGCCAAAACTCTACGCGCGTTTTTGGCTCCGAGTTGCTGAACAGGCCTCGAACCGAATGTGTGACCCCACCAATGGATTCCTCGTTCGGAGAGCAATCCATTGGTGGGGCCACACGTCCGGTTCGAGTCCCATTTAGCGACTCTGGAGCTCAAAACGTGTCCGGGATTTTGACCGCCTCCACCGGGGTTCTGACAAAACCTCCTCTATCGCTCTCGAGCCCGCTGCCGGTGGATAGAATTTCGGCCCACCGGCGTGCTGGACGAGCCGGTGTAGCGACACTGTATTCCAGGAACGTGACGTCACTCTGAGCGTCAGTCGTGTCGCGTCGGTTTGAATCGGCCATGTCCACACGGACCTCATTGAGCTTCGATTCATCGAAACGAACGCGTCGACGCGGCGAGTGTGACGCGACGTTCCTGGAACAGCAGTGTATGTAGCGGGGGAGTTGCACAGTGGGCCAGAGGACCGGTGGAGGCGGCCAAAACTCCAGACGCGTTTTGAGCTCCAGAGTCGCTAAATAGGACTCGAACCGAACGTGTGACCCCATTAATGGATCGCTCTCCGGGCGAGGAGTCCATTGGTGGGGTCATACGTTCGGTTCAAGTCATGTTCAGCGACTCTGAAGGTCGAACCTCGTCTGGAGTTTTGGCCGCCTCCACCGGTCTTCTGGCCCACTGTGTGTTGCCGCAACTCTTGCCCCGAGATTGCCAAGCGCTTTGCATTTGGGGCGTTTCGGACGCGAGGAGGGGGGAAATATTACGGTGGAGTGCCCCCCCTCCTCTGACAAAGTAGTTGCGTCGCAGAAGTTTGATTCATCGCGAAAAATTTTGCTCTGATGGCTCTCGATGACAAACCCCTCTGCTCGGTATAGTGATGTAGTTGAAGTAGGAAAGTAGATTGAACGAATGCCGTATTCGATTTGTCTTTGGCACGGCTCTAGGACCCTTCCCGGGCGAGGTGCGAGTGCGATTACTTTCCTCGTTCGACGCTCGCCCCGCCCTCCAGGGAAGTCCATTCGGCGTGGCCGCTTTGCGAGCCTGCACTGCGAACACGCGTAGTTGGCATGCACTCCGAGGCGTCACTATCGTTGCACTGGTGGAGCATTGTGGAGTAGTGCGTAACTTAGTCACACTGATGGAGCAGTGTGTACTGGTGAAGCAGTGTGGAGTAGTACGTAACTTAGTCACACTGATGGAGCAGTGTGTTAGTCACACTGGTGGAGCAGTGTGGAGTAGTACGTAACTTAGTCACACTGATGGAGCAGTGTGGAGTAGTACGTAACTTAGTCACACTGATGGAGCAGTGTGTTAGTCACACTGGTGGAGCAGTGTGGAGTAGTACGTAACTTAGTCACACTGATAGAGCAGTGTGGAGTAGTGCGTACGTAGTCACACTGATAGAGCAGTGGAGTACCTCCGCGAGGTGGCAAGTGTAACTGAATGCAACGACTTTTCAAGCCGTTTTGCGACTTGACAACTTTTTGCCGCGCAGAAGGTCTTCTCTGATTTCCACGTGTCCCTTTTGGTTTCGACGCCGTAGAAACGGCGCGGCAGTGCAGGCAGTGCGAGGTGCGAACTGGCGGCACCCAGTGGGCCAAAAGACCGGTGGAGGCGGCCAAAACCCTAGACGCGTTTTGAGCTGTAGAGTCGCTAAATGGGACTCGAACCGAACCTGTGACCCCACCGATGGATTCCTCGTTCGGAGAGCAGTCCATTGGTGGGGTCACAGGTTCGGTTCGAGTCCCATTAAGCGACTCTGGAGCTCAAAACGCGTCTCGTCTTCTTCCGTTTAGTACTGTTGTTGTTTGGCGCTCTTGCACCGCTGCGCCGGTGAACAGTGTAGTGTCCCTTCAATTTTTGTCGAGCTATTTTTGTCAAGCTGCCGCCGTACCGGAACTGGCGGGTTCCGAAACTCTCCGCGGCGCCTGTTTGTTTTTCTAGCCGTGTCCTCGGCGGCCGTGTGCCCGGCCGGCACTGGCCCGCACAGTGGGCCAGAGGACCGGTGGAGGCGGCCGAAACTCTAGACGCGTTTTGAGCTCCAGAGTCGCTAAACAGGACTCGAACCGTCCGTGTGACCTCACCAATGGACTGCTCTCCGGACGAGGAATCCATTGGTGGGGTCACACGCTCGGTTCGAGTCCTATTTAGCGAGTCTGGAGCTCAAAACAGTTTTGGCCGCCTCCACCGGCTTCTGCGGCCCACTGTGGCCCGGCGGCCGACGCGTACACTGCTGAAAACAGCGCCCACCATCCGGTTCCTGAATGACTCTGTGAGGCTACTTCCTCCCCGCCGGGACGGCCCGCCCCCACTCTGTGACATTCCAACCTATTTTCGCGGTGCCGCGCCACGCCACGCCGTAGCGGCGCAGCGTAGCGCAGCGGCCCCACGGCGTCTGGGTCGAAGGCAAGGGGGGGGGGGCTGCATGTGCTGCGTGTAGCCTGCATGTTGGCTGGCGTGCGTGCCGGGCCGTGGCACGGTGGGCCAGAAGACCGGCGGAGGCGGCCAAAACTCTAGACGCGTTTTGAGCTCCAGAGTCGTTAAGGGACTCGAACCGAACGAGTGACCCCACCAATGGATTGCTCTTCGAACGAGGAATCCATTGGTAGGGTCACACGTTCGGTTCGTACCATTTAGCGACTCTGGAGCTCAAAACGTGTTTGTTGGCCGCCTCCACCGGTCTTCTGGCCCACTGTGCGTGGCCGGGAAGGAGCGAGAGCTCTGAGAGCAGGATGGGATGGTTGTCGGCCGCTCGCTGGGCTGCCAGGGCTGCTAGCTACCCGCTGCGAGGTACCGGCATCCCCTCTCTGTGTGTGTACAGTGTACGGACAAAGTTGGGCCCAAGTCGGGGCTGTGGGTTGTTACGGGTCGGGGCAGGTCCGTTCCGGCGACGCGGTGAAATTCTCTTGGCTCGCTCGCGGGGAAAATGGAAAATGGAGGTCGTTTGCAGCTTTGCAGCCCCTCGCGCGTCTCGCGTCGCATGCCATTGACTCCCTGGAATGACTCGCTTTTACGGTGGCTATGCAGCGCGGCGCGCCGCGGCGCCTTTCAGTATTAAACTTTACATTTCCAGTTTTTATCGATTCCCCGGTTTTGGCGGAGCGCTTGGCGTCGCACAGTGGGCCAGAAGACCGGTGGAGTCGGGCGAAACTCTAGACCCGTTTTGATCTCCAGAGTCGCTAATCAGGACTCGAACCGAGCGCGTGACCCCACCAATGGATTCCTCGTTCGGAGAGCAATCCATTGGTGGGGTCACACGTTCGGTTCGAGTCCCAATTAGCGACCCTGAGGCTAACGCGTCTAGAGTTTTGTCCGCCTTCACCGGTCTTCTGGCCCACTGTACGTCGCGGCAACCTGAATTCAAGTCGGGGAAAACGACGTGGAATGCCGTCGCTTTGATTAGAATTTGACATTTTATTTTTTTACCGCACCGTAGCAGAGTAGTACACGTCTAAAAAAAAGCCCCGAGGTTTCCATGTATTTAGCACGCGCCAGAGAAATTGAGTCGCTGTATTTTTGTCGCGTGATTAGTCGTCGCGCGTCCTTGTCCGCCTGCATAGCAATTTGTCGGCCGTTGTTTTTCTCGAGGCTATTTTGGATTTCATAAGCCTGTTGATGCGGTGGTTGCGCTGGTCGCCTAGACCGCCTAGACCACCTAGACCGCGCGCCGTGCTGGTCTAGGCTGTCTAGTCTGCTTTCCTTGCCGAGGTGCTCGTGGTGCCTTCAAGGTAAGCGGTCTTGGCTCCGCCCCGCCCCGCCCCGCCCCGCCCCGCCCCGCCCCGCCCCGCCCCGCCCCGCCCCGTGGTTGTTTGCACCTCGAGGAAAACTACGCAGAGGAGGATTGTGGGCGCGAACCCTGTTGAATTTGCACTAGCGTGTTTTGGCTGTGGCACGCCGCGCCACGCCGCGCCACGCCGCGGTGCTCGCGGCCTGCCCGGTGACGTAGCCGCCAGAGCAAGCCCAGCACCGCCAGCACGGCCACGCTGCTGTGGCCCAGGCGGGGCCCAGGCGGGGCCGGGCCGGTCGGGCCAGGCGAGGGCAAGGACCCCTTCGAAATTGGCGCAGAGTGTTGTTTGAGGCGCCTGGCCTGGCCTGGACATTGTTTCGCGGAGTTGAATCGTATCGTCTTTCTGGAATGCTTATGTAGAGTTTCTTTAAATGCTTTTTTTAAAAGGATGTTTTATTTTTAAGAGTGTTGTCTAGGCGCACTTTAATTTTAGTTCCCTTATATGAAAAACGTTGACCTAGGCTTGAGTAGGGGGAAATAACTCCAGCCAAATTTGTACACCAATATTCGTCAAACATGTAAACTTTACTGAAATTCATTAAAATTCTTTGAAATTCGACTGAAATTCTTCGAAATTTGACTGGAATTCTTCGAAATTTGACTGAAATTCATTGGATTTGCGCACTGAAATTCAGTGTGATTTACCCTTGGGCTTGAGTGGGACTGACTGGGAGGGAGGCTCGAGCGTGGACTGGCGAAAATTATCCAATTGTTTGGTTTGTTGCAGTGTGCCAGAGTGTGGACATTCGAAACACGGTGGAAAACTTCGACAAACTGAATGACTGCGCCGTGGTGGAAGGGTTCGTCCACATCGCGCTCATCGACAATGCGGGCGTCGAGAACTTCACCAACATCACGTTCCCCAAGCTGAGGGAGATCCACGGCTACCTCATCCTGTACCGCGTTAAGGGGCTGCGCTCCCTGTCCACCATGTTCCCCAACCTGGTGGTGATCCGCGGCTACGTCCTGATGCGCAACTACGCCCTCGTCATCTACGAGATGAACGATCTCAACGTGAGTGCTTTGCAGTGCCGAAACTGTTCATAGACGTTTGCCTGTGCTGGATGAGTGATTGATTTGTTGGTTGGTTGCAGGATATTGGTCTGATATCCCTCATGAGCATTAAGAGAGGGTCTATTCGTATTGAAAAGAACCCAGTTCTCTGTTATGTCGACACTGTGGACTGGTCATACATATCTCATGATGGCGAAGGACATTTTATCAAAGTAAGTGACAATGAAAGACGGCAAATTTCAAATTAACTTGCCTCTCCCTGGTACAATTTACTAAGTGTTGCTTTTTCTGTGCGCAGGGAAACAAGAATGGGCGAGAATGTCCACGCAAATGTCCTGACCGATGTCCCAAGGCATCAATTTCTTCCGCCAAAGCAACTGGACTGAGACCGACAACCCCCCATTTATGTTGGACTGACTCTCATTGCCAAAAGAGTGGGTATCTGTGTGAAGAGAGCGTTCAATGCCTCCCCCTCACGATGGAAATTAATATGTTTGTCTGTTTCGCATTGTAGTGTGTGCTCCTGAATGTGGAAAGGCTGGGTGCTTACCCTCTGGTGAATGCTGCTCCAAGCAATGCTTGGGTGGCTGTACGGGAACCAGTTCGACTGATTGTATTTCATGCAAAGAAGTGAAAAACATGAACTTTTGTGCCGAAAAATGTCCCTCGCCCCTGACCAAGGTATGTGCTTTCTTTGTAATTAATCTCTTGAAGTTTTACTGAAAATTGGTAAATAATTTTTTCCTGTTCCCTTTGTGCTTCAGTTTCTTGACAGGCGATGCGTAACAGATCAGGAGTGTAGAAGCATGGTGGCACCAAAGGATTTCCAAGGATCTGGAGACGTGAAATTTCCCTGGCGACCATTTAATGACTCTTGTATTCTTGACTGTCCGCCTGGATATTCTGAAAAGAAAATTCCTGGAGGTGGGCCTGGCAATAGGGATACTTTCACATGTGAAAAGTGTAAAGGTGAGCATTTCCTTCATGCCTGGTTGGTTAAAATAAACGTGCTTAATCCCCTCTATAAGTGGTTGGAAATTAAAGAAATCAGGCTACCATAACATTTTAATTCTGTGTTATTATTCTCTATTTTGATCATTTTTTTCTTAGGTATCTGTGAAAAAGAATGTGAAGCAAGCCATGTCGATAATATTGCGGCAACTCAACTTCTAAAAGGATGCACTGTCATAAAGAATTCGTTGGAAATTCAGATTCGTGGAGGCAGTCAGTATTTTTTACACATTGTGATTACCTTCAGCTTTTGCGTTGGCGTATCTTCTAACAATCCATGCTTCATTTTATTTTTGCAGAAAATCTTGTCAAAGAGGTAGAAGAAAATTTGCAATCCATCAGAGAAATAAATGGCTATTTGAAAATAGTTCGTTCGTCGCCTCTTGTGTCACTCAACTTTTTGAGGAATTTGCAAGTAATACACGGCAATGTCTTAGATGGCCAGTAAGTGTATATCCTTTTCATCAATTGCAATGAACTTCTGTGCTGCCATTAAGTCACCTAACTAATGTAACTCCATGTTCTAGGTACTCACTATCTGTCCTTGATAATCAAAACCTTCAGAAGTTGTGGGATTGGTCACCTAACTCCACATTCGCAATAAAGAAAGGCCAAGTCTTTTTTCATCTAAATCCACTCCTGTGTCCTCAAGAAATTGAAGCATTGAGAAATAAAACGGGCCGGCTAGAGTTGGTTAAAGGTTCAAATGGTGATAAAGTGGCATGTAAGTACACACTCACAACTTGGATATCTGTGATAAATTTTCTAGTCACAATTCCTTATGCATTTCCTCTCTGTTTCAGGCGATATGGATGTTTTAAATGTAACTGTCTCCAAGGTGACACCTTTTGCAAGTCTGATTGTTTGGCCCCCCTTCAGCACACCAGATCCCAGAACATTATTGGGGTACATGGTTCACAGAATCGAAGCTCCCTATCGAAATGTTACTCTGTATGACGGTCGAGATGCTTGTGGTGGTGATGGCTGGGCTGTGGACGACATAACAGTGCAGCAGGGGAACGCCCAAGAATCCAAGACTGTGACCCACTTGTTCACCAAGTTGGAACCTTACACTCAATATGCAGTTTATGTTCGAACATACACTCTTCCAGGAGGTTCTCGAACTGTAAGAGGGGCACAGAGCGACATTCTGTACTTCCGAACTCTTCCCTCCATTCCATCGACACCCAAAGACCTGACTGCAGTTGCAAACTCTAGTTCTGAAATAATAATTCGTTGGAGACCCTCTTTTCCTCCAAACGGCAATGTAACAAAGTATATTGTGCAAGCTGTGATGGAGAATGACAAGCCTGACAGGCTGGATTATTGTGACGACCGTGAGTTTCATTTGTTGTTGGCAGAGTGCACTGTGCACTGTGTTGTTAGCATGTGGTCCATTTCCACTGGTTTTTCATTTTGCAGCTCTGGCAGCTAAAACTGAGACTGTTGAGATAATAGACCAAATTCCCAAAACAACTCAAGCTCCCCCAGGGAGAGACGCTGGTCCTGATGGTGAGCAGTGCTCCTGCTCTTCCTCCAAAGAGGATATTGATGCGAGGAAAAGAGAGAAAGAAACAGAAAGTGAAAATGAATTGAACTTTGAGGACCAACTCCACAACATGATCTACATCAGAAGGTTTGTGTTCAGCTCATGTCTGGAAATAGGGGCAGAAGTAGTTTGAAATTCCTTACAAGTGACTAATGTTTTTTTTTCCTCTCTTTAATAGGCCTCCAAGAGATTCTGGTGGTTCTAATGATAAAAGAAAGAAACGGACTGTGGCCCGTCACATATCTGATGATGCATATTTTCGGTACAAGAGATCAGTTGGCCAAGAATCACCACGTTTTCCTGATAATCCAGATCCACCTCCAATTTCAAATAATAATGCTGATTTTAAAGAGAACTGTACCACAGGTAAGACATTTAGAGCACATGTTAGTTGGAGCTATTTTACCAGCATGTTGTTATTTATGTGTGCCTTTCTTTTAGGTGTTTGCTATACTGTGCTCCGGGAAGTTCAAGGGGATACGCTATTTGTTATGAAAAACCTGCACCACTTTTCACGATATTCTATTAAAGTGATTGCTTGCCGAGAGCTGGATGCATCTGAGCTTAGAAGGCCGGAACTTGCTCAAAACTGCAGCCCAGCAGCCATTATCCAACAGCGCACTTTACACAAAGGTAGGGAAACATGTTGTGATTGTTTAGATGCATGTCTCATGGCCCGTTGTCAGTGGATCTCACTTGTTCTTTTTTTATTGTGCAGCGTCCGCGGACACAATTGCAAAGACATGGCTAGAAGAAACCAACAGTACAAGAATTTATAAATGGGTACCTCCCGCTGATCCAAATGGCATCATTGTGAAATATGATATTCAGATATATACTGAAAATGTGGTAAATGTAAGTGAATGCGTGTGCAGTTTAAATATGCTTATTGTATTTTCATTGCAAAACATCTGGGCTAATGTGGCAATTCTTGTTTTCAGAGTGGTAATCGTCCACACTGTTTAGGAAGAGGAAACACTTCTTTTGTTATTCCACATCTGCCATCTGGCAACTACAGCATTAATGTTCGTGCTACTTCTCTCTATGGCCCTGGAAATTTCACTGAAAAGCGCTATTTTATAGTTGTAAGTATTTAGGTTTTTGAATTTTGATTGATCTTTTGTATCTCAAGGTTGGTTTATGCACTATTCGGAATTGCTTCTCCCATTGTAATTGATTTTTTGTTTCTGTTTCAGGATGAACCCACTAATAGTGCCACCCAGTGGCTGTATATTCTGATATCAATTATTGCTATTGTGGTGATCGGATTCCCAATCTTCCTCTATGCAAGGAAGCTGTGGTGTCCTCCCCCAGTGCCACCAATAAAACTTATCTCCAATGTAAATCCAGATTATGCTCCAGCCACTTATATACCAGACGAATGGGAAGTCCCTCGTTCAAACATTCAGATACTAAAAGAACTTGGACAGGGCTCCTTTGGAATGGTGTATGAGGGAATCATTCGCAACTGTCCTAGATCTGGTATTTCAGAGCAACAGTGCGCCATCAAAACTGTGAACGAACATTCCAATGACCGTGACAGAATTGAATTTCTAAATGAGGCATCTGTCATGAAGTAAGTTTAGGCAGCCGTTTGCTCAGAAATTGGATAAATTGAGTACTCGGAGTAGGATTTTTCTTATACTTCTTGATTTTTGTTTCAGGGGTTTTGATACTCATCATGTAGTTCGCTTGTTGGGAGTTGTCTCACAAGGACAGCCTACCTTAGTAGTTATGGAACTCATGGCTAAGGGAGATCTGAAAAGTTACCTGAGAAAACATCGTCCTGATGAATCAGATGACCCTGAAGTTCAACCTCCAACTTTTAAGGTATGAATATCATTCATTTGAGGTGATGAATTCCTTACGTCTCAAACACTGCCAGCAGTGTAATGATTTCTTTGTTTTGCTTTCAGCAAACATTACGAATGGCCATGGAAATAGCTGACGGTATGGCTTACTTGTCAGCAAAAAAGTTTGTTCATCGGGATTTGGCTGCTCGTAACTGTATGGTAGCAGATGACATGACCGTTAAAATTGGGGACTTTGGTATGACCCGTGATATCTATGAAACAGAATACTATAGAAAAGGAAGTAAAGGGCTGATGCCTGTGAGATGGATGGCACCAGAAAGTCTTAAAGACGGTGTCTTCACCAGTGCGTCAGATGTGTGGAGTTATGGAGTAGTGCTCTGGGAAATGGCTACCTTAGCTTCACAACCTTACCAGGTATGTTCAAGGTCATGTAGCCTCTTAGCTGTTTGTGGTTTTGTCTTTTGCCTTTTCTAATATTTTGTTTTTCCTTTCTTCCAATTTTAAGGGCTTGTCAAATGAACAAGTACTGCGGTATGTGAAGGACGGAGGAGTGATGGAAGCACCAGAGAACTGTCCAGAACAATTATATGATCTGATGAGGCGGTGTTGGCAGTTCAAACAAATGCACCGTCCCACGTTTCTGCAGCTGGTTGAAATGCTTCTTCCCGACGCAGATGTATTGCCTTCATTTAGTGATCGATCCTTTTATCATAGTCCAGAGGCCTCTGAACTCCGGCACCCTCCTACACATGGGCTGGCCCCATTGGAGGAGGGAGAGATGGACGCAGACATTGAGGCCATCTCACCCAGGACTCCTCTCAGATGTGCTGTGCACGATATTGAGGATTTTGATGTAGATGGCTCAGAAAGTGAAACAGAACAGGTATGTATTGTTCTTTTTATTACTCTGTAGCTTAGTTGTTTTATCCAATGTGACGTTTGGTTTCCTTGTCCGAACAGCATCCCGAGCAGAGTGGTATGCCTGCCCCTGCACCCAGCAGTTACGCACAGTACCATAAAGCTTATTCAAGTGACTCAAGTAGAGATAGTAAAGCCAGCAACGGCAGCAGTGCAAATGTCAACACAGCCAATGGCTTCATCCGTGATCACTGGCATCGGCACGGCAACGGAGCCACGTCCCATACTTCACATCCTCCTCACAGTTCTCACCACGGACCACCTCCGACCCTCAAGACGACAGAATGTTGATAAATGGCTGGTTATCAGCTGTCGAATCCTGACATACCATTTGTTTTCCAACATTTGTGCTTGCTCAAGCTCAGCTAGTGTCCTTCTACCATGACTTAATGCTTCATTGTGCCGTTCAGTACAAGTACAATTGCAGTTTGCGTGCCACTTTTTATTTGTTTTCTGGTCTGTGTGTAGTTTTATTTTGTACATTGCAGAATGTTTCAGGACAATTGTGTGAATATGCTAGGTGTAATATTTATGTTTATTGATGTGTATTTATTATTTGACGTAGAATTTGAGTTTATTCTTTTTGTACAGCCTTCCTCACCATTATGCACAACTGTGAACAAAATTATCTTTTAACACGTTGACTGTAACTGCAAAACAGATCCAGTGGCTAAAAAAATTATTGTTCTCTCATTTCTTTTGTTTGGAATGTGAACTTAGTAATTTTCTTGCCTTAATGAGGCACAAGGCCCACTGCCAAACTGATTATCAAACGTTCATTGAGAGAAAGAAAGGTGACCAACCTCTGTGGTAACAATACTGCTGGACCTAATTCACTGTCATCATGATTTTATCTTTTGGTTTCTGAGGTGCAGATAATGTCAGAAAAGTTCAGAATTGCCACTTCCTTTAAAAAAAAAAAAAATTTAAATAATTTTAACTGCAGGCAAGTTTTGATAGTTAAAAATTGTTGAATGATTCTTCTTGATGTAACAGAGAAAGAAAATTGCAGTACCCACATACTTTTTGCTGTTGTTGACCGCCTGGTTAATGTCTGCACTCAAGAAATTTGTATAGAGAAATTAATGTGACTGCTGAAAGGTGCTTGCCTTACTACTTGCAGTTGAGTCAACATGTTAAGGCTTCGAATTTTTGTGTGACACTAGTGTCACTGCTATTTAAAGTGAGTGTGCCAAAACTATTGATCTGTATGATTGAAAAAGGGATTTCAAGCGATGTTTGCATTTGCACAGTGCCTTTCCCCTTGGGACCACATTGTACTTAAACTTGTTTCCACTTTCTCCATTGCAGTCTGTTTGAGTAAAACTCATCTCTCATGCTATACCTTATTGGTAGTGAAAAGTTGTAATCGGTATGAAGTATAAAAAGTTCTGAAAATATATTCATGTATATATTCATTATAAAAGTAAACATAAACAAAGTTTAGCGGAAACAAAGTTGGTAAGGTGTGGTCCTTAGGTTAGGACTAATTAATACTTCATCTGTACTGGCTACTTCTGCATTTGTTTTCCAACCATACAAGCACCAATCTAATTTGGGAGTCAAAAGTGGACTGTGTTCTAGACCCAGTAGAACAGGAGAATTTGAATTTCCCATTTGTTTATGTGCTTGGTGCGAGTGAGCAGGCATGCACTGTAAGGTAGCGTTTCCTTTACCTATTTCTGTTTCAGCCAAATATATTATTTTCTCTTTCTGTGATACTGTTCTGATTTATGTGTTGTGATGTGTAGGGCTTGATTTTATGGTTGTGTGCAATGTAAGTGTGTCATACATGTTGAAACCCTAGACAATGTGCAGCTTCTTGGGCATTACTAGAGTGTATGTCAAGAGACACTGTTCCTACACCCTCTCAATATTTATTGTTATCTCTTAATCTTATACTGGATTTATGTACATTATTCTGTGACAAATCTGATTTTTATTTCTCATTCTGTCATTGAATTGTTATGTGCTTTTCTGCTTTGGTACAAACAAACTGAAAGTCTCATGCAGTAGTGTTCAAAGAGAAAGCAATCTGTGTTCTCAAGTATATAGTAGCTCTATTTGACCAAAGTGAGGCTTTGATGTGTATTTATGTCCTTAAATTTGTATCAAAAGCCTCTCTTTGATAACTGCAGGATTTCTATTTATTCCAAAGGAGTTGTGACTATTAAACTGCATCCCTTTTCTTCAGGAATTACTAGTCCTAATTATTTTAATGATTTTTTTTTACACTAAATGTGTTTAATCGAGTGCTGCCTAATTTTACTTAGTTCAAGAAGCTTGTCATCAGATTTTTTTTTCATGGTGGCCACCCATTGCTCTAATGTACCTGTTGTATAGCTAGCTAGCTAGCTGGCTTTTGCTTCCCTCAGTATGGCCAACTTGATCAAGTATCCATTTGCTTTTGGACAGGCTGAAGTCTTTAATAGTCTTAAACAAGACATCATGTTGCATGGTTTGTGAAACTGTGCTGGATGTTTTCAAATTTATTTTTTTCAGAGATACGGCTTTTATTCAGAATCAGTCCTGTATGTGTGTTCTGTCAACAGAACCAGTTCTGAGTTCGTTTCACGAAACTAAGGATGATAGTCTATATTTAAAAGCTTTTTGTACACCTTGGTGTGTGTCAGAAGTGTCACTTACCTAGGAATAGTTTGAGGAGGCTTGATGTTTTTCAGTCCTCAGGCCTACCTCCAATTTTAATATAAATTGCAGATACGCTTATTTAAAATGTGGTTACGACTGATAATGGCAGTCTTTTCACATTGTCAACATTTTGGTTTCGTTCCTAATGGGCTTCACCATAGGTTCAATATCTTATATCTTTGTGATCCATGGTCTTTGCAGTACTCATTAAACATCACTGATGCCAATGTGCTGGTGTTACTTTAGTTCACAAATACATATGTAGCTCATGGGATCAAACTCAGAAATGGAGCTCTATTATGCCAAAGTCTTATTGATTAAATTATTGTAGTTGCTGCGCCCCTCTGAATAATGTGTCCTCAATCCCCCTTTATCTCTGTAAGTTGTTATGTTTTTGCCATCCGTTGTATGACTGACTTGGACTGACACAGGCAGCGTTGCACTTTTGATGACTGTTGTGGTTTTTCTTTATCTTTTTTTTTTTGTAGATCACACCCTGAAGTTAACCAAACTTGTGTCTTAACTGGAACATGAGTTTTGGTTTTTGAGTGTTGTGTTTGTGTCATGTCTTATTATTATTATCAGTGGGATAGGTAATTTTATACTAAATGTCCATGACATGTAGACAGCATTTGTGACTCACTTATGTTCATCCACAGATTGTTTTACTTTGATTTATATTTATTATATTGGAGGATTGAGATGGTCTTGTCAACCAACAAAAATAGCCGAATTTTTAATAGTCACAAAATTGCATGAAAGTTGTCTTTAAGAGAGAACTGCTCATAAACTGGCATCCATAACTCTTTACAGTTATTGATGTTTAAAAAAGTGAATACTTAACTGGTGAATAGTGTGTTCAATTTTATGTAACCCTGACATCTAAGTGTTGTATCAACCGCGTACTTGTGAGCTTTTTGAATTTTCCAGTGTATAAGAGCTTTAATGCATAAATAATGCTATGGTTCATTTCAACAGTTAAATATCCTCCTGTCTAAAAGCATTTCAAAAAAAAGGGTGCATTACATCTCAAATTTTACCATTATTTTATTTGAGTTGTGTGTTACAGTGTGACTGTATTTCAAAATGTATTTTTGTATTACCTCAGCTCAGTTTAGGTCAGTAGAATATTTTTAAATATATTTTGTAATAACTCATTTGGCTTAAAGACAGGAAGATGATCAAAAGTTTTTGTTTGTTGGCATGTACCTGCTTCGATATGTTTATACTTCTTTTCACCAGAAGCAACTAGGTTGGCTTCAGACTGACAATATAGAGTTCAAATTGCTTGGCCTAAACCTTTCCTCTCTTAATGTAATTAATATTAATTAATATTATTGTTGTTATGGTTATTATTCAATTATTTTTCATACAAAGTATGAGAATTTGTGTTGCCATTCAATTAACAAAAGCTTTTGATACAGGGTTTTCCCCATGAAATGATTATATTTGTTAAATGTTAAGTTTTTGCTGTGCTGCTTTTTCTATTGCTTGATGCTAGATACTGGACTAAAAATGAAATGTCAAGTCTTAAATTTGATATTTCACATTTTGAGCATTCTTTAGTATTGTATTCTTCTTCCAACCAAATTGTATTCTCAGAAGTTTTACCAAGCTCAAGGAGTCAATGATGTAAACTTTTATGACAGCATAGGATGTGCTGTCAACCAAATACTACAGTTTTGGTGAATCGAGGTCAAGCAATACCCAAATAGCCAGCCAGTGTGGTAATTTGAAAATGCCAACAATATATGTCGTACTAAATTGTCTGATCACACCATTATACCTCTCCACATGTATTTTAAAACTAGCATATTATGTAACCAAAGGATGCCCTTTGTAAGTAAATAGAAAATAGGGTTTGGTGAGCGGCAAGACCAAAGAATTGGCTCATCCAACACCCCTGGTATCTTGTTCAATCCCAGCAAAAGAATAATTCTTTTCTTGTTTTTTTTTTCCTTTGATTGAAAAGATTGGTTTGATATGAATTCGTTTTTATTGAAGCTTTTAAGTCCTTTGATTTTAGTTTCATGTCAAATTGACGTATGGTGTTATGTTATTGTTATTTAGTTAAATTAATTTGATATGGTCTTAATAATAATCTCAAGTTCCTGATCTGTTAACAGAAATGTGTCTTAGATGTAGATTCATTCCATAAGAATCAAAATGTCCAATAGGATGTACTAAATGGTTTTAAGTGCTGCTGTATGTTGTGCGACAAGACTGGGCTCCTCCTCAGCTTGATTTCAAAGGCTCAACCTCAGCCACCTATTACTACTCAGACTGATTGTATATATTGATGTGTAGTCTATTTGTATATTGTATTAATCATTTTTAAATTGTATGCCCATTGTATACGATGGTACACTTTCAAGTGTACCAGATGAACAAATGTGTAAAAAGTCATTCCATAAACCAATACAACCCTAAGTTAAAATAGTTTTAATGAAATAAGAAAATGTGTACATTTTTTTCCAACAGTATTCAAAGGGAGCTTGCAATTGCAAATGCTTAATAATATATTGTACATAAAGTAATAATAATAATTAACTTGAAACCTTTACTCTGGCATTCGTCATTGCGCACTTTCCCCGCGAATCACACACCCCTCCTCACAGTGCAGGGGACACGGTGAAGGCAATGGAGTGATGTCGCGGCCTGGCAGAGCATGGCAGAGCGTGGCAGAGCGGTCCTTGTTCCGACTCGCCATTTGCATATTGGCAACGGCCCCCTCTTAAACATCAATTAGGCTGTCGGCCCCTCTGGCTGGCTCCATGCTGGCTCTGGCCTGGCTCAGGCTCGGGGTGAAGCGCACAGTGGGCCAGAAGACCGGTGGAGGCGGCCAAAAGTCCAGACGCGTTTTGAGCTCCAGAGTCGCTAAACAAGACTCGAACCGAACGTTTGACCCCACCAATGGACTGCTCTCCGAACGAGGAATCCATTGGTGGGGTCACACGTTCTGTTCGAGTCCCATTTAGTGTCTCTGGAGTTCAAAACACGTCTAGAGTTTCGGCCGCCTCCTCCGGTCTTCTGGCCCACTGAAGCGGCGGGCCGCCGGCCTAGAGTCACCGTCTGTCCCGCACTCATGTGTTCTTTAGAAGGGGGAGGGTCATGAGTACGCCCGCAGCCTACCCAGGAGGGCCCCCTGGAGTCCTGGTTGTGGCGGGGACGCCGCCTGGGCAGGTTTGACCCTTGGCGGCAAGGCTCATGCGCACTTTTGACGCTGCGGAGATTCGCGGGCGTTACTCCCCGCTCCAGTCACCCGTCGGTTCGGTCAACCGGGGACCAAGCGGCGACCAAGGGCGACAGTGGCGGCCGAGGGCCGCAGCGGACGCACGCCGTCGGCGGCCGCGGTTCCCCACCCACCGCGATTTCGTGCCTTTGGAACCGTGAAACGACACGGTTGTGTCTAGCGTGAATTGTGCTCCCACAAAGGCTTAACCAAGACGCATGGGTTTAGCGGAGGTGGGGGAAGCCGGCGGCCAGCCATCAGGCAGCCAGCCGCAAGGACCCTCGGCCGCGCGACCTGCCGCCCTTCAGGCTCGCCGCGTTCGGTCCCGGTTGACAAATCAAATGTAACGACGGCGGGGCACGTAAAAACCTTCCTGAATCTTCTGAGCTAGTCAGAAATGTTGTGCGATGAGCCGTTTAGCCGCAAAGTGGTGCAAACCTCGGCCAGGCGGCGTCCCGGCCCGAAAAAGCTGGGACTCCAGGGCGCCCTTCTCTCATGGCCTACCGCAGCCTACCCTACGAGGATGCTGGTGGGGGCGTGGCGGGGGCGGGGGTGGGGGCAGGCGCCGTGGCTGCCGGCTCGGCGGGGGCGGGCTGGCTGCTCTGCGCTGCGGGCGGACTGGCGCGGCGCGGGCTCCTCCACTCCAGTCCCAGTCGGTTTCGGTGGGCGCGCATCCCCGCATCCCCACTGCAAGCCCGAACGGCCCAACGCAGCGCCGCGCAGCGCACAGCACGCCGTCGAGGCGTCCGCGGCCACGCTCACGCAACCACGCTCGCGGCGCCGAACCCGTGCCGCGCGTGTGTGTGAATGGTGTGAATTTGTGTTCCCGGAAGGCTCAACCAGCAGCATGGAGTTTTAACAGCGAGCCGATCAACTTCAACATCGAAGGTAAGGCCGTGGGAATATTGCGAAAAGTCTTGCCGTGCTCGCGGTGCCTTGAGGGAAGCTTGACTGAAGCAAGCTGTGGTTGTAGGGCAAGACAAGCAGCACGCGATAAAACACAATTTGTCGTGAAGCTACGCTGAAATTCCCACGCGTTGCGTTCTTCAAATCAGACATCTTGAAATCTTTTGGTACAAACAAACCTTGCAGCTAGAATGACGCTCACTCCTGAAGCTCGAAGAGGGCTTTCGTCGACGAAGCGCAGGAGCCGTGCGTTTTGCGTCGCCTTTACAGTGGCAGGCACTCGACAAGGACCAACTCGAGTGTTGATTACACTCATTTACTGACTTCCGTCGTGTTTGCCTTCCATTTGCCTCCCGCGCCGGATGGCCCGGTCCAGTAAAACAACAACAAAAACAACAACAACAGCGTCGCTCATCTGGAGCTTGCGACGCGACGCTCGCGAAGGGATTGTGTCACTGATGGCCTCTGATTTCGAAGGAGCGTTTAGTTGCTCTGTCTCTGTCACTATCATGGGTCGTTGCATGGGGGAGTGAGAGAGAGAGAGAGAGAGAGAGAGAGGAGAGAGAGAGAGAGAGAGAGAGAGAGAGAGAGAGAGAGAGAGAGAGAGAGAGAGAGAGAGAGAGACTGTTGTTGAAGGACGGTTCGGCGTGCTGCAGGTGGAATGGGCGCGGGCAAGCGGTCCAGTCCCGGGTTCAGCATCACCACGGCCAACTGCAGCAATGGCTGCGGCTGTGAGGAGGTCCTGGAGGCCTCCAGGACTTCATCCAGGACTCCATCTAGGACCTGCCGCGAGGCGCGGCCACCGCACAAACAGTCCCGGGGAGCGGCCAGTCCTTGGAGTAAGCCCTCGCCGTTCTCGCTACTCATCACACACAGTGGGCCAGAAGACCGGTGGAGGCGGACAAGACTAGGCGTGTTTTGAGCTCTAGCGTCGCTTAACGGGCCTCGAGCCGAACGTGTGACCCCACCGATGGATTCCTCGTTCGGAGCGCAATCCATTGGTGGGGTCACACAGTCGGTTCGAGTCCCATTTATCGACTCTGGAGCTCAAAACGCGTTTAGAGGTTTGTCCGCCTCCACCGGCATTCTGACCCACGGTGCCTCACGGTGTATGTGACCGCTGAAAAACGAGACATTTTTGTACAGTGTACGCGGGGGTGGCGGCGACGGCGGCGGGCTGCTACGTGAACGCGCTGTGGGGCGACTTCGTGCACGACGACGTCCCCGCCGTCACCACCAACAAGGACGTCCTGGGGCTGACCCCGCTGCGCGGCCTGCTGGCCAACGACTTCTGGGGCACCAGCATGGCCCTGCCGTCCAGCCACAAGTCGTACCGGCCGCTCACCACGCTCACCTTCAGGTAAGCCTCCAGCAGGGAAGCCTGCGCCGCTACAGGCCGCTACCCCGCGCGCCAGGGACACCCAACGCAGGGCGCAGGGGCAGGCTCTCGCGCGTGGGGTAGCGACGCACACTGGGCCAGAAGGCCGGTGGAGGCGGTCGAAATCCCGGACGCGTTTTGAGCTCCAGAGTCGGTAAATGGGACTCGAGCCGAACGTGTGACCTCACCGCAATGGATTCCTCATTCTGAGACCAATCCACTGGTGGGGTCACACGCTCGGTTCGAGTCCCATTTAGCGACTCTGGAGCTCAAAACGCGTCCGGGATTTGGACCGCCTCCACCGGCCTTCTGGCAAATCCACTGTGCGACGGCAGGCGCCCTTGTCTCACGCTGGTAGTTCAGGCCTCGCCTGTTACGTCACCCATCGCACACCGGCACACTAAAAAATAATTGTTCGTTCAACATCTTTCCGTGCCGAGCAGGGAATGCTGGTGTTAATTGCTGGATGCGTGGACAGTGTCACGCCATTTGTCGGAGCAGAACGTACGCTCGTGTCTCTGTCAGTGTGTGTGTGTGTGTGTGGGAGGGGGGGGGGGCGTAGCCCCGCCCTAGCCGTGCACCTGCCCGAGTGGTAGTGCGAGCACGACTTTCGGCGTATGCGTGTACAAGTGAGTGAGTGTGTGTGAGTGTGTGTGTGAGTGTGAGTGAGTGTGTGTGTGTGTGTGTGTGTGAGGTGTGTGGTGTGTGATGTGTGTGTGTGTGTGTGTGTGTGTGTGTGTGTGCGTTTGTATGCGTCAACGTGTACTCGCGAGTGTGTGCGTGCCACGCCGTGCCACGCTCGGATCCGTGAGGCGGACGGGGCGGAGAGGAGGGTTGAAGAAATATATATGCACGCCACGGGGCAGAATTGAGGAGACTACTGCGGTGGTTGGATGGGGTGGGGGTTAAGCTTCGGGAAGGGTCGGGAGTACGAGAGGGATGGGAGTTATGCGATGGGGCTGGCTGAGAAACAACTATGGGGGAGGGGATGGACCGTCACTGCACTGGTGGTGGCGGTAGCGTGCGGTGGCACCTGCCAGTTTTGTAGTGCCACGCGTGGGTTGCGAAAAGAGGCGACGACAAAACTCCAGACGCGTTTTGAGTAGTGTTCGAAATTCCTGGAACAATCATTCGGGAATATTCCCGAGATCCCGGAATTCCCCGCAATTGCCCACTTGCCGGGAAATTGCTTCATATGGACCCATCACATTTGATAAGTTAAACTTCTTATTAGGATTTTTATTATTTTTACTACGAAACGCTCTTTGGTCTTCCAAAGAAAATGCAAATACACTCAAGTGATTCATAATTATACTTGATACCCTGCACTTTCTACATTTCGTGCAAAAACTAGCTATTTTTAGCCATGTTTCAAAATTCCGGGATTTCCCAGTTTTGGGTCTGAATGTGGCCTGGAACGTGTGGAACTCCCTAAATTCCCGGAATATTCTCCCTTTAGAACACTAGCTTGAGCTCCGAGTCGCTAAATGGGACTGACAATTGACCCCACCAAGGATTGCTCCCGAACGAGGAATCCATGGGGGCCACGTTCGGTTCGAGTCCCATTTAGCGACTCTGGAGCTCCAAAACGCGTCTGGAGTTTTGACCGCCTCCACCGGTCTTCTGGCCCACTGTGCTACGGCCAACGCCCCGTCATGATGGAGGGGAAGGGAGAGCAGTCGAGTCGGTCGCATCGACTGAACGGGAAGGCATTGCCGCCAACATTTGGACAGGATTCCGACAGGGGTTCGGGAGGAGGAAGGGGGGCTTGCTCACAGGTGTGTTCGCCCCGCCCCTCCCCATTGGTTTTGACTCCCCCTCCTCCCCCCCCCCTTCCCGGTCCAATAAAGGGTTACGACTATCCCGTCTCACTGTTTGGGCACTTCCCCGAAGTACGCTGCCATGAGGCCGCCGAGCTGCGGAGCGCTAGCGTGCCGGCGTTAGTGGAACTGTGGGTTGATGCCGGCGCGGCGGTCGGGGCCCCGACGGGGGCGCCACTGGCGGGCCCCGCCAAGGGCCCAGCGGCCCCGCACACTGTATGACGCGCGCAGGTGGCGGCTGCCTGCTTTTAACAGTTTTAACGCGCCCCGCAGCTGCAGGCGGAACGAATGTTCGCGGGCCCTTCAGCCTGCTTCAACAACCGCGCGCCGATTCGGGACGCACAGTGGGCCAGAAGACCGGTGGAGGCGGTCAATACCCGGACGCGTTTTGAGCTCCAGAGTCGCTAAATGGGACTCGAACCGAACGTGTGACGGTTCGAGTCCTATTTAGCGACTCTGGAGCTCGAAACGCGTCTGGAGTTTCGGCCGCCTGGGCCGGCCTTCTGGCCCACTGTGGGGGCGCGAGAGAGACAGGGCGTGGGGCCAGGCTCATTGAGCGACGAGGAAACTGAAGGCAACACAGCAGCGCCCCCTTCTCTCCAAACTCGCGCCACGCTGCCACGCTCCGCCATCACACACAGTGCCAGCAGAATCTTCAGCCATCCATCTTGCCAACTATCAGACTATCAATCAATCAATCCTGCAGCAAGTTCGCATCCCCGGCGAGTTCATAACCCTGGCGGAGCACAGTGGGCCAGAAGACCGGTGGAGGCGGCCAAAACTCCAGACGCGTTTTGAGCTCCAGAGTCGCTGAACAGGACTCGAACCGAACGTGTGACCCCACCAATGGATTGTACTACGGGCGAGGAATCCATTGGTGGGGTCTCACGTTCGGTTCGAGTCCTGTTCAGCGACTCTGGAGCTCAAAACGCGTCTGGACTTTTGGCCGCCTCCACCGGTCTTCTGGCCCACTGTGCGAGGCCGTGGGGCTGTTGGGGCGCTGCTGCGGGGCGGCCGGGCTGGCGGAGGGCCAGCGTGGCCAGCACGGCCAGGGCCGGCAGCCAATAACACAATAATTAGAGCCCCGCCAAGTTGGCAACGACAGGAAAGGGAAAGAGGCGGGCAGGTGCCGCAGTGTTGCCACCAGGCCGAAAACCACCCACCTCGGTCCAGGCTGGACAACAACTCCATCTACAGGGTGGTGGCTTTTCGTACGTTGCTTTTGCGTGCCTTTGCTACAGGGAGTGTCGTTAGCTCACCGTGGTTTAGGCGTAACAGTGCCGCAAAGTTGGTGAAAACGGCGGCGGATGTCTGGAAATCGTGATTTGACCTCATTTCGGTCCTCGCCGCTCGCTCTAGCCTCGCTGAGGGGCGCACCCCCGCCAGCCCCGCCGCCTAGGCAGGCCCGCCAGGCCCGTCCACCCGCAGCGCCGCGCAGTGGAGCGGCGCGATCTTGCTTTGCGATGTCGTGGAGGCCAGGCAGGCCCGACAGGACCAGGAGGGCTGTCTGGACAACAACAAAGGCGACATGGAGCCCCGCTGGAGTCCCGGACTCCAGGAGTCCCCGCCTGGAGAGATCGTTCCAGCCCGCCTGCCGCGCCAGCCGGAAATGCGGGCACTGCGAGGGGCACTGGCAGTCGACCTGGCAGACGACCTGGCAGACGGCCTGGCGGCCGAGTCGGGACTTCCATTTGCACCTGCCAGAGTGCATGTTTCAGCAGCCGGTCCGATCGTCGAAGTGACGCAGCCGGGCGTCCCACAGTGGGCCAGAAGACCGGCGGAGGCGGTCAAAACTCTAGACGCGTTTTGAGCTCCAGAGTCGCTAAACAGGGCTCGAACCGAACGTGTGACCCCACCAATGGATTCCTCGTTCGGAGAGCAATCCATTGGTGGGGTCACACGTTCGGTTCGAGTCCCATTCAGCGACCCTGGAGCTAAAAACGCGTCCGGGGTTTTGACCGCCTTCACCGGTCTTCTGGCCCACTGTGCGTCCCGACAACAGCTGGAAGGGGGGCCGAGTTTCATTTTCGCGACGCTCGGAATCTTGGTGTGAATGTTTGCGCTGTGGTCGACAAGGTATCAGCGCAGCCAACCCCTCGCAGTTGTACGTGTCGGACTGTCCGGCGAGAAGACGGATGCAGTGAGAAGGGTTGGCCATTCGTAACGTTTGCTGCTGTGTTGCTCCCCCTGCTTGCCTCCCTGTCCATTCTCGCCCCCGGCAGCCTTTCCCTCGTGTTCCCACTTCCGGTTCCTGACTTCTTTTCGGGGCTTTTAGCAGTGTGGTGGGTGAGCAAAGACTGCAGGCGGGGCGGCATCGAGTAAGTTTTACATGAGCAGGGTCTCTCTCTCTCTCTCTCTCTCTCTCTCTCTCTCTCGCTCTCTCTCGCTCTGGCCAGGCCGCGCAGGGTTGCGCGCTGAAAAGCTGTTTGAAAGGGCATGCCGTATGAGGAGTGGTGAGTGCGTGGCTAGAATCCTTCCATGTCTCTCTTCTCCGTCTCGTTTGCTCTCCTCTCTCTCTGTCTGTTACTTGCTCCCCCTTCTTCTTTTCCAACCTACTTCTTTCACTGGTAGCCCAGCCTCTCTCAGTTACAACAGCCACACCTTAAAAAAAAAGATTAATTCAATTTTTCAACACAGAACAGCGAAAAATGGAAAGCGAATCAACATCCCAATCGATCGTCACTTTGTTTCGTAAGAAGTCATCGGCTCGAGAGCCAGCGCGAAGATCCTGGTGGCGCCAGTATTTTTTTTTTATCTCGCTGTCTCTTTCTTGTGCACTTTGTGGCTTGCCGGCCAGTCTTAGCCGGCCTTGGGGGGAGGAGGGAAAGGAGCTGGACTCCCCTTATTGCCGCTATCTCTCATTTCACTTGCCTGTCTCCTTTGTGCCGTGGACTCCAGCCATGCTGCAGCCCCCCCAGCGAGATTTAGGGAACGGAGCGCACCCGACTGTGTCCCGACCCAAATGTGCGTGTCCGTCCTGGGAAAATCAACGGTAGCGTGGTTGTGGATCTGTTTTATGAAACTTTAGTGTTTTCTGACACTTTGGTATTTATGCTGACACTTTAGTGTTTCCTGACTGGTGTTTTCTGACACTCAGGTATTTTCTGACACTTAGGTATGTTCTGACATTTAGGTATTTTCTGACACTTAAGTATTTTCTGACTTTTTGGTATTTTCTGACACTTTGGTTTCTGACACTTAGGTATTTTCTGACACTTAGGTATTTCCTGACACTTAGGTATGTTCTGACATTTTGGTAGTTTCTTACTTTTTGGTATTTTCTGACACTTTGGTATTTTCTGACACTTTGGTATTTTATGACACTTTGGTGTTTCCTGACACTTTGGTGTTTCCTGACACTTACGCACTGATAATCCAAGTGTGGGACAGGCATGCACTAGATAACGTGGGACAAACTGTCCCACGCTTGTAAGCGTGGGACAAAATGTCTCACGTTTGCAAGCGTGGGACAAACCGTGTTACACGCTTACAAGCGTGGGACAAACCGTGTCCCACACTTACAAGCGTGGGACAAATCCGCGTCCCACACTTACAAGCGTGGGACAAACGGTGTCCCACGTTTGTAAGCGTGGGACAAATCCGTGTCCCACACTTGCAAGCGTGGGACAAACCGTGTCCCACGCTTGCAAGCGTGGGACATTTTGTCCCACGTTATCTAGTGCATGCCTGTCCCACACTTGGATTTTCAGTGCGTGTTTACTGACACTTTGGTGTTTTCTGGCACTTTGGTGTTTCCTGACACTTTGGCGTTTCCCGACACTTTGGTGTTTTCTGACACTGTTTCCTGACACTTGAGTGTTTCTCGGTGCTTCTCGGCGTGTCGCGCCGCCTTGAGGGACGTGCCGTCCCCGCCGCCCCCGCCGCCCCCGAGGGGTCCATGAATGATAAGCACCCCTTCCCGCCCCCGGCCCGTCCCAGCCTTCCAGATGAGCGGGACAAAGACGGGGCTGCAGGCGTGAGCAGCGCTAGCAGCCCGATATGAATAAAGTGGCGCGAGGCAAGGCACCGTCGTCGAGTGAGCCACTGCCATGCAAGCTTTTCTTCTAATTAATTATGTGAGTGCCTCCTCCCCTTCCCCTTTCCGCCACTGCACTGGCGGGACCGCCCCCCAAAAACAGTGCCAAATCTCTTCGTTAGCAGCCTGCAGTCTGCAACAAAAAAGGGCCAAGCAGAAAGGGAAGCTTCCACATGTGCGCCGCCCAATGTGAGGCGAAAGGTGCAATGGTCCCCCGTCCTTGAAGGTCCTTGAAGGTCCTCGAAGGCCCTCGAAGGTCCTTGAAGGTCCTTGAAGATCCTTGAAGGTCCTCGAAGGTCATTGAAGGTTCCTGAGGGTCCTTGAAGGTCCTTGAGGGTACTGGAACGTCCTTGAAGGTCCATGAAAGTGAAGCTCCTTGAAGGTCCTTGAGGGTCCTAGAAGGTCCTAGAAGATCCTAGAAGGTCCTAGAAGGTCCTAGAAGGTCCTAGAAGGTCCTAGAAGGTCCTAGAAGGTCCTAGAAGGTCCTAGAAGGTCCTTGAAGGTCCTTGAAGGTCCTTGAAGGTCCTTGAAGGTCCTTGAAGGTCCTTGAAGGTCCTTGAAGGTTCTAGAAGGTCCATGAAGGTGAAGCTCCTTGAAGGTCCTTGCAGGTCCTCGCAGGGCACTGGGCTCAGGGTCAAGCAGTTCAAGGCTGGCTGGGACGTAAATGATAAAGCGGCCGCGCATTCACGGGCTGTTTATTCCGTCACTCCGTCGCGAGTAAATCAAAAGAAACAATGCGGGCTGCCCGGCAGTGCCCGCTATCTTCCGAGTTGAGGGCCTCGGGCTTGGAGTTCTCCCAACTCCCCTAACGCCGATCCTTCTTTTATGCGGAGATTCGGAGCCGAGAATATGGGCCGGCCCGAATGGGTGGACTCGAACACGCCGGAGAAACACTCCGCCTCGAGTGTGTGTGCGTGTGTTTACCCCTTTTCTTACTTGTGTTATTTTATTTCGCCAAACTGTGTGTGTGATCAATAAAGAATGGAGAGATTTATCGTCTAAAGTGAGCAAGCGCTGGCCAGCCGTGTGGTTCGGAATAATGGAGACTCTCCTTTTGGGGGCTTTCGCACAAAGAGAGGAATGTCGGAATGAGAGAGAGAGAGAGAGAGAGAGAGAGAGAGAGAGAGAGAGAGAGAGAGAGAGAGAGAGCGTGTCCGTGCATGTGCGGGGGGTGGATTCGGGCTGTCCGATATCGCATTCCAGGCCCAAGAAATGTATAAAACTGACCAGTGAAATATGGTGGCTTTGGCAGCTGTGTGCACACGCCTGTCCTACAGTGTACAGGCCGTGGAAGCGTGGAACGTACCGCTTGGCGAGCGCAGAAGAACGTTATTCAATCACTACCAGATAATTTTTTTTACAGGTCTTTTTTTCAAATATGAATGGAAACATTTTAGATTGGATCTATACCCGCCTGTGTAGCATATATTTTTTGGGACCTTATTTGACTAAAACCAAACCCCCCGTTGTCTGCCTCAGGAAGGACTAGTTTTGAAATGGGTGTTTTTCACACCTGAAAATGTTGTAGAATAAAAGCCAACCCCGCCTGTGTTTTGTTTTAAATTGATTTTTTGCGGTGTTCCCTGCCCAGGACGGACCACCTGGTGTGGGGGCTGCGGCCCGTGGGCTTCCACCTCGGCAACGTGGCGCTGCACCTGCTGGCCTGCCTGCTGGTGGCGCGCCTCGCCGTGTCCGTGGCCAAGCTGCAGCCGCCCTTCGCCGCGCTGGCCGCCCTGCTGTTCGCCGCGCACCCCGTGCACACCGAGGCGGTGAGTGTCACGTCGCCAAAGACGCGACGCCAAAGTCGCTAAATGGGACTCGAACTGAACGTGTGACCCCACCAATGGATTCCTCGTGCGGAGAGCAATCCATTGGTGGGGTCACACGTTCGGTTCGAGTCCCATTTAGCGACTCTGGAGCTCAAAACGCGTCCGGGATTTTGAACGCCTCCAGCGGTCTTCTGGCCCACCGTGCTACGTCACCGTGTCGTCAACGTCGGTGGGTTCCAGCCGCCTCAGCAGCGGTGTCAGAACTTCCCCCGGGCCTTCCTCGCTCCGCGCTGCCCCGCTCTGCTCGCTCGGACCGGGGTATTGCGAGGGACGTGTGTTCGCGGAGGGTCTGAGTGCGACGGACGGACAGACAGACAGACAGGCAGGCAGGCAGCTGCGGCGCGGACCCAGCGGCGTGCTGCGCCGTGCTGCGGTGCTCGAGGTATCATATTTGCAAATTTGAATAAAGAACAGGAAGCGAAGCGGCACTGTGGGAGGGAGGCTGTGCGGCGCCGTGCGTGAGACACGCATTGGAGCAGGCTGGGCCGGGGGCGGCCGGGGGCCGCAAGGGCACAGCAAGTGGGTGTAACGGTGTAGCGGCCCCCTGTCTGGGAGCGAGCGGTCAGTTGAGGACGGCCGCGGTCAGATTTTGCGCGGAGGCTGGGATTGCATTCACTGGGGGGAAGGGCCATTTGCATTTAATGCCGACACTGATGCCACTCTGGGCAGCGCTCCGCCCGGCCGATTCCAAGGCGTGGAGCGTTGCACAGTGGATGTGCCAGAAGACCGGCGCGGGTGGGGACGGCCAAAACTCTTGACGCGTTTTGAGCTCCAGAGTCGCTAAACGGGACTCGAACCGGTCGTGTGACCCCACCAATGGATTGCTCTCCGAACGAGGAATCCATTGGTGGGGTCACACGTTCGGTTCGAGTCCTGTTTGGCGACTCTAGATCCAACCGACTCCTCGTTCGAGTCGAGCACGCTCCACGCACCGGTACGCGGGGGCGGATCGGCTCGGGGGTACTGAACTACATCGCGCTGATGGAGAGAGACAAACAGACAGCGAGCGGTGAAACTAACGCAAAGTTTGTGACTACCCGCCGACCCACCTGCCCTCTGTCTGTCTGTCTGTCTGTCTGGCCGTCCGAATGTGCGTCTGTCCGCGCCAAGCTGCAACGGCCCCTATTGTCTGTCTCTCTCGCTCATCAGACAAAGCCTGGATGCAGCCCGAGGTGGCCGAACCAGAGACCCGGCCCGGCCAGCCCCCGCCAGCCCCTGCCCAAAACCGGGGTGGTAATAAGATCTGATGGGTAGACCAAGGGGTAGACCGCTCCGCTCCCCCTCCCCTTCCCCGGCGCGGCCGGGACTCCGCGCCGCCCCGCGTTAGAGAGTTAGCGCTCGAAGGTAGAGAGGCTGGGGAGAACTGCCCGGGAATGGACAGCGAATTAGGTTTGCACAAACTACAAAGATGGGGGCGCTGTGTACCTCTTTAACAGACGCTGCGCTTGTTGTGTGGTGGTTATGAGTGGGGAGGGGGAGGCAGTGGTGGGGGGTGGGGCTGGTCAGACCGCCGGCGCCGCCAGGGCCGCCAACCCCAATACCACAATAATTACTGCTCCAAGTTCGCAACTGGGGATTGCGGGGGCGGGGGCCGGATAAAAGTGCGAGGCCCGAAGGAAGGCGGCTTCAGCGGCCAGCCCGCCACTCCGCCGGCGTCAAGCCCACACTGTACACCACACGCACTTGGGCCTTTTCCTGTCTGCCGGCCGGCAGGGCAGGCAGGCAGTAGTGCTGGGAGGCCAAAGGGCTCTTAACCAACTTTGAGCCTGCTCCCCGATTTTCCCTTCGATTACGCCCCGGAGAGACGCCTCACGGAGTGCCGCCACCTGCCCCCCCCCCGGTGCCTTTTGGCCCCAAGCCGCGCCAGTGCGCCTTTAATGGGGCGAAAAACGGCTGCACTTGAAATGCAAATTCAACGGCGTTCCAGGATGCCTCCAGGATGTCCTTCTAGGACGCCTGCTCGGGCTGCAGTGGCGTCCAAAGCGTTGCTGCGTACCACGTCCTATCGGGGGTGGGGTCGGGTAGACATTGAAAAATCCGTAGTTCGGTTCGGACAATGCAGGGATCCGTACTTTTCGTGCCCTTTTTTTGGAGTGTCGCGGTGAGCTTGATGAGGGCCGCCTTGGTTGCAGGTCGCCGGCGTGGTGGGCCGAGCCGACGTTCTGGCCGGCGTCTTCTTCCTGCTGTCCTTCCTCGCCTACCACGAGTAAGTAGCTCTGTCTCTGTCGCACTCGAATCCTGCCGGACATCGCGCTACTTTCCCCCTTCCCCTAGAAAGACTCTGCCCGGCCCTGCCCGTCCGATGCATCAGTTCTTCAGACACAGAGTGGAAATCCATTTCCCCTAACGTGCCGCCATCTCCGGTCGTCCGAACGGGGTCGGCCGCGTCGGCGTCGCGTCGGCGAGATGGGGTCATGGCGGCGTGGCTTTCCTGCACTGTTAGAACCAGCTCTCTCTCTCTCTCTCTCTCTCTCTCTCTCTCTCTCTCTCTCTCTCTCTCTCTCTCTCTCTCTCTCTCTCTCTCTCTCTCTCTCTCTCTCTCTCTCTCTGTGTCCCTCTTCCTCCTCCACCCCTCTCGCGTTTGGTACAGTAAGTGGCATCAAAAGGGAATGCCCTGTTCCGAAAGGGTACAAAAAATTTTCCAGCCGGCGGGTATCGAACCAGGGTGCTCGCTCGCGGAAGTCGGTGCCCCAACGAGCGCGGCCACGGTGGAGGTGAGCGCGGCATGCAAGGCCGTTTCGGCTGATAGGGTGCTGCGTGACGGCGAATATCGCGCATTAAGGCCTGCATGGCGGAGGTTGCCGCCTCGGTAAACACCTTCTCGACGGGGAGCTTGGCGACGAGCTGAAGACTCCTGGAGTAGAGAGAGATGAGAGAGAGAGAGGAGAGCGAGTAGAGCGAGAGAGTTTCGAGCGCAGACGAGAAGAGGCGTCGAGGCGGACGTCGAGCCGCGGCTGGGTTTGCTCGACACAGATGCACGAGTCGGTGTCCGTGTCTGGCCGCAGGAAGGAGGCCAGTCGCTTTTAATAATTGTTACTCCCTGCAGTTCCGCCAGCGAGCTCGGCCTCGCTCTCTGGTCTCCTGCTCTCTCCTTCTCTCCTCTCTCTCCTCTCTCTCTCCTCCTCTCTCTCTCTCTCTCTCTCTCTCTCTCTCTCTCTCTCTCTCTCTCTCTCTCCCTCTCTCTCCTCTCTCTCTCTCTCTCTCTCTCTCTCTCTCTCTCTCTCTCTCTCTCTCCAGCTCGGCAGTCTGGACGCAGCACGCTCATAAAATTACCACAAACGGAGTGGAGCGACAACGAAGGCTGTGGACGAGCTGAAGATAGACGGACAGACAGACGGACGGACGGACTGGTACAGGATTTACTCATCTACCAGAAAGGTGTTGCCAGACTGGCGGATGAGCTGCCTTTGAATGTCTTACTTTCCAGCGAAAGAAATTAATGTAACGCATCTTCATACAAACGGCGACGGGCATGACGGGCAGGCAGACAGAAGGACAGACAGGCGGACGCAGAGAGAAGAAGCAGCGAAAACAACTGCAGCTCGAGGAAGTCCTGTGCTCCTCGCCATTCCCTTTGACTGGCACACTTTCATCGCGCGCTCTTTTTCTTTTTACCCCTCTCTCTCTCTCTCTCTCTCTCTCTCTCTCTCTCTCTCTCTCTCTCTCTCTCTCTCTCTCTTCTCTCTCTCCCCTCCCCCTTCCAGCCGGTGCGCCGCTACACGACCTCCATCTCGAAAACATGTGCTTCCTTTAGTGTTTTCATATCGCCTCCGCACTAAATCCAGGCGGCCCGACGACCCCCACGGCCCCCTACGGGCCCCCTGTGGGCCCCTTTGCGGGGTGGGGCGTGAAGGCCTGTGGCTCGGCCTTGTGCAGCCTTCTAGCAGCCCCTGTTGTCGTCTTCCTCTGACTCCAAAATGCCCCTCCTGGGTCGCGACTTACCCTGATGACTCCTCTAATCGTGGATTTTACCTGTTGCTCCAGTCGGGCCAGGGCTGACCCCATTTCTTATGCCAGAGGTCACATTCACAAAGGGTTCTTTTTGTAAGAATAATATTTTTGAATTAAATAACAAGCCTTGTGAATATATAAAGAGTTTTCGAAATGAAAACCCCAGGAAAAGAGTTTTTTTTTGTTTTTTCCCTGCCTGCTGTGTGGAGGAGAGCTTTGCCACCGTATGGAAAGCGAGCGACGTCGCAAACCGCGCAGTAAAAGAAATGGCGCGGAAATTCGAAACGAAAGGGCGGCGTCCGCGCAGCGCGGTGTGCGTAGCATGGCGTAGCACAGTGGGCCAGAAGACCGGTGGTGGCGTTCGAAATCACGGACGCGTTTTGAGCTCCAGAGTCGCTAAATGGGACTCGAAGCGAACGTGTGACCCCACCAATGGATTGCTCTTCGAACGAGGAATCCATTGGTGGGGTCACACGTTCGGTTCGAGTCCTGATAAGCGACTCTGGAGCTCAAAACGCGTCTAGAGTTTTTGACGCCAGCATCGGTCTTCTGGCCCACTGTGCGGCGCGCTTGGAGTGGCGCGGAGCCAGGGCGGCGCACGGCGTTCAGCCTGCGAGACGCGGGGTAGGCAACCCGGCGGCAGTGGCGTGGCGCGGGCCTGCCTGCCCACATTACTATTACCATTAAAGGCTAGTACACACATGATCGCGTGGTGCTCCCAGAACTTACACACGGCCTCAAAGGCCCTCTAAAAGGCCAGGCCCTGTCGAACTTTTGCGATTTTTGTGCGATTTTGCTTTCTTTGCGCGGTTTTGCAATTGTTGCGCGATTATGCGATTTTTGTGCGATTTTGCTATTTATGTGCGATTATGTGATTTTTGTGCGATTACACCAGCCTGTAGCCGCCGGCGACGGCCGTATGCGGTTTTTTGTGTGCCGTATACGGTTTTTCGTTTGCCGTATACGGTTTTTCGTTTACCGTATACGGTTTTTCGTGTGCCAGTGACGGCCTGTAGCCACCTGTGACGACTGGTTCCCGCCGATCACGGCGTAGGCCGGCGAGGGCTTAGGCCGGGCCCGCACAGTGCGCCGCGATCTGTGGGCCTTAGTCTCGGCGCGGGGCGGCGCGGGGCGGCGCGGGGTGTGAGGGCTGTGAGGGTCGTACGCGCGGTGCGTTAAAAATGAAGCGGGACTGCCAACTCTAAACGGCCACTGAAAGCTGCCCCTTAACAGCGCCCTACGCAGTAACGGACTGGAACTACACTGCGAAACGCGCCGAACTTTGTCTCGCCGTCGATGCGACCCTTGGTTCGAGTTGAACTCGCGGTCGTTTCCCCGCGCGAGCCTTGCGTCGCAGACTTCTGGTGGCGGCGTAGAGACCACAGGGCTCCGCGAGGTACAATGTAGCTGGATCTAATCCCAACAAAAATCACCTTTTTGATTGCTGTGAGAAGCGGGCTCGACATGTCGAGCTGTGGCTGGCCGCAAATGTATGATCTTTTTTGAATCGGTGGCCGGCCTTGTCTTGGCCGTGTACGCAGAGAGAGAGAGAGAGAGAGAGAGAGAGAAGTGGTAGTGGGAGAGGGAGGGGTAAGTCGCCAGAGCCAGAACTGGGATGACAGTTGAAGAATCATGGTCAGGCCGACTGGCCTGGGCCTGGCAGGCGGGGGAGGTCGGGGAGGGTGGAGGGGCATTCAATAAAAGTGTCTGGGGCCGGGCTGAAATAAAGGAGCTCGTTCAGGCGATGAGTGGCGCGTAAAGAGCGCCAATAGTGCGCTCGCGCCGTCTCACTCTGACTGCGTCGACTGCGTCATCGGGCTAGAGGGTTGCCAAGTGCGGCGGGGCATTTAGATGGGCGTGTTTTGAAGGCAGAATCGGCGGGGAGTGGCGCCTGTTCACGAAGAGTAGGCCCGAAAGAATTGAACCTGTTTGACTCCCTCTCCTCTCCCAACTTCTCCCTGCAGCCGCGCTCTTTCACCTCTCTCGGGTCGCTGTACTTTACTCTCGCCTCCTTCCGCCTTCCGGGCCGAGTCTGCCAGCCGCATCCGCTCCCCCTCCCCTCTCCTCCCCCCTCTTCCCTCTCTCCTCCCCTTCCCCTCCCTCTCCCTCCCCCTCTCCCCTCTCCCCCCCTCCCTCCCCCTCCCCTCTCCCTCCCCTCTCCCTCCCCTCTCCCCTCCCCCTCCCCTCCCCTCTCCCCTCCCCTCTCCCCTCCCCTCTCCCTTCCCTCTCCCCTCCCCTTTCCCACTCGCGTTGCCGCGCTGAGGCTTGCCTTCGACGTCCTTGCAGTGGAGGCATGGTGGATTGGCCAGAAGACCGGTGGAGGCGGCCAAAACTCTAGACGCGTTTTGAGCTCCAGAGTCGCTAAATGGGTCTCGAACCAAGCGTGTGACCCCACCAATGGATTTCCTCGGTCGGAGAGCGATCCTTTGGTGGGGTCACACGTTCGGTAGGAGTCCCATTTAGCGACTCTGGAGCTCAAAACGCGTCTAGAATTCTGGCCGCCTGCGCCGGCCTTCTGGCCAATCCACTGTGCACGGCGCGGTCCTTGATCCTCATTTCATCGGCCCATCAACACAATCCATTGCCCCCTCCCCTCCCTTTTTGAACCAATCACGGCGACGCAGACAAAGCAGCTCGAGCGTCGCAGCGTCGCACGGCCCGGGGCGGAGCGGTGGAGCGGCGCGGCGCAGGGTTTCGCGCGACGGGCGCAAATTGACTGTGCTGCCGGCCCATTCCTGTCCCTCTCGCACTCAAGGGGACCCGCGCAGGTGCGAGAGAGACAGGGCGACGAAAACGACTCTCGGAATCAGTCTGCCGGCATCTTTTGACGACGCCGAGGTGCTCGGCTTGCGCCGGCGGAAGGGGAGGGGGTAATTTGTCCCCCAGACAGCCGATCCCTGTCCCAGCGCCGGCGTCGCCCTGGCCGCCCTGGCCGCCCTGGCCGCCCTGGCCCTCACGAGTCGTCGTCTTCGTCGCAGGAGTTTATTTTATTTAGAGGAGTTGGACAGAGTTGACTGTGCGGAGTGGGTCGTCCACTGTAATGTGAGGGGACGCGGTGGCGGCGCGGAAAGCTTTCAGGAACTTTGCACCCACTTCACCTTCTCCTGGGTGAGCTTTTCCGCGTGTGCCCCACGCCGTCAAGTACACTGCCTAGGGCCTAGGCAGTGCCTCCTGGATGACCTTCTCAGGGAAGGAACTTGCTGCAACGTCACAATTTTTCAGCAGTCCTTTTAGATTTTTTCTGATATTTGTCTGATGTATGTATCCATGTCATTTGTGCAATGTGTTTTTTTCGTATCGTCCTGTTTACTAAGTGCGTACCTCACGGTACTTAGTCTTTTACAATGCCATTACGTTGCCCGAACGACTGCACCACGAGCGCGGCTGCCAACGAACCAAGCTCCGAGGAAGAAACAGGCGTGATTTTTGGCCCTCCCTGTTGGCAGCAGCGAGTGGCGCGCGCCCCGGGTCGGCGCCAGCGTTCTGCTGGCCGTGCTGGCGCTGCTGTCCAAGGAGACGGGCATCATGGCCCTGCCCGTCGGGCTGCTCTTCGACCTGTACCGCACCTGGAGCGCCGTCCGGAGGTACGAGACAACACTCTGGGTGTAGAAAAAAATGTTGGAAGAGGTGGGAACTCTCTTTGCGAACCGCATTGGAAGACTGAAAGACATTATTAATTCTCTGCCTGTCTCTCTCTTCCTCCTCCCCCCTCTCCCGGTGGGATCCCCTCACCGCGGGGCAGACACACGTCGACTGGCTGCCATTGGCGGATTGGCCGCCCCGCCCCGCCCCGCCCCGCCTAGCTTCACTGCCATTCCGTCCCCGGCGGTTTGGCGGCGACGCACTCCATCTAGCAGATTGCGTTTTAAAGTAATTGGCCGATGCGAATTAGCAAGCTGCCCCGCCCCGCCCCGCCCCGCCCCACCCCGCCCCGCCCCGCCCAGCCCCGCCCCGCCCGCCCCGCCCCGCCTGCCACGCATCGCTGTAACTTTGGGGAGCGGGAGAGAGAGACAGAGAGAGAAGGGGGATGAACTGCCCCGTTTTACGGTGTGGTGAGAGACGGCCCTTGGTTCCAGGAGCGTGCGCGACCAGGCGTGGACCGAGGAGTCCTGGCGGTTCGCGCAGCGCGCGCTCAAGGTCACGCTGTCCGTGAGTCCTGCCCCATGACGTTCTGTTAGCCGGACAGAGCACAGTGGGCCAGAAGACCGGCGGAGGCGGCAAAAATCCCGCACGCGTTTGGAGCTCCAGAGTCGCTAAATGGGACTCGAACAGAACGTGTGACCCCACCAATGGATTGCTCTCCGAACGAGGAATCCATCGGTGGGGTCACACGTTCGGTTCGAGTCCTGTTAAGCGACTCTGGAGCTCAAAACGCGTCTAGAGTTTTGGCCGCCTCACCGGTCGTCTGGCCCACTGTTGGAGCCTCGTTCCTCAGACTGCCTTTCTTTTGCCAGGTGGCGCTGCTGCTGCTGTGCCGGTGGTGCGTCCTGCAGGGCTCCATGCCCAGGTTCGCGCGCCAGGACAACCCGGCCGCCTTCCACCCGGACCCACTGGTGCGGTGCGTGCCCGACATTTGTCTGTCTTCGACTTATTCCACACACACACACACACACACACACACATCAGGAGGCCTCGATTTTCACCCTCCCACCAGGGGGCTTCGTTTTCTAGACCTCTTCTTGGGGGGAGGGGTCGATTTTTTCCATGTGTGAGTGTGTGTGTGTGAGAAAGTGTGCTTTGTATGAGGGCTTCCAGAAGGTCAGCTAGCACAGATCCCCGTCGAGGTCCCCGGCGAGGTCCCCGTCGAGGCCCCCGTCGAGGTGCCCGTCGAGGTTACCGCCGAGGTCCCCGTCGAGGTGCCCATCGAGGTCCCCGTCGAGGTCCCCTTTGAGGTGGTCAAGGGTTCCGCGGAGGACTGCGGCGACCCGCCCCGCGAGCGGCCAGGGGATAGTCTCTTTCTGGCGCTCGCCGTCAGCGTCGCTGCGTTGCAGGGGGTCGCCGCGGACCCCCGTGTCTCCCGCGGACAACTTTCGCCATTAGTGGGAGGGGAAGGGGGGGCACTACAGCGCTTTCCATGAATAACACAACAAGCTGCGGCCCGCGGTGGCGACGGCTGCCCGGCTCGCCCCAGCCTTGCGCTAGGCTTGCCGTTGGGACCGCGGCAAACAACCTGACCGAAACGAGACGAACCCGTTAACAAGTGTACGCACAGTGGGCCAGAGGACCGGTGGAGGTGGCCGAAACTCTACACGCGTTTTGAGCTCCAGAGTCGCTAAATGGGACTCGAACCGAGCGTGTGACCCCACCAATGGATTCCTCGTTCGGAGAGCAGTCCGTTGGTGGGGTCACACGATCGGTTCGAGTCCTGTTTAGCGACTCTGGAGCTCTAAACGCGTCTAGAATTTTGGCCGCCTCCGCCGGTCTTCTGGCCCACTGTGCGACTGTCACCGCGCGTCTGTCTGTGCGGGGTGGGATATTCCATGAGACGTGCGTTCCGAAGTCTTTTTTCAACAGTGTAGTGAAAGTGTTGAAGTGCGTGATGGTCATTTGGTCGTGTTGGCGCCGCGACAGGCTGCTGACGCTGAGCTACGTGGCGGCGCTGCACGGCTGGCTGCTCGTCTGCCCCGCCTCCCTGTCCCACGACTGGCAGTTCGGGTCCGTGCCGCTCGTCACCACACTGCTGGGCGACGGCCGCAACGCCGCCACGGCCTGCGCGCTCGCCGCCCTGGGCCTCGTGCTGTACCGCTGCTTCGCCGACTTCGAGGTACGCGGTTCGAATCCCCACTCACGGCCAATTCAGGAGAAACAGGAATGACCGATGAAACCACGGATTTTACTAAACTTGCGAAAGTATCGTTTTTGTTTTGGTTCAGGTACTTTATGCTTGATTGGTCCTGGCTGCAATCTCGAGCTAGATTTCGGAAAAACGTTTTTTTTTTTAAAATTATTTTTGTTTGTTGGCAGTACCAGCGCAGCCCCTGCCTCGTCCTGGGCACCGTGGTGCTCACCCTGGCCTTCCTACCCGCCAGCAACCTACTCGTCACCGTGGGCTTCGTGCTGGCCGAGCGGGTGCTCTACATGCCCAGGTACGTACGCACAGTGGGCCAGAAGACCGGCGGAGCCGGACAAAACTCTAGACGCGTGCAGAGCTCCAGAGTCGCTAATTGGGACTCGAACCGAACGTGTGACCCCACCAATGGATTCCTCGTTCAGAGAGCAATCCATTAAAGGGGTCCCACGTGCGGTTCGAGTCCCATTTAGCGACTCTGGACCTCAAAACACGTCATGAGTGTTGGCCGCCTCCACCGGTCTTCTGGTCCACTAGCGGTGCGCGCCTGCAGCGGGCGGGGTAGGCAGGCCGCCCAGCAGGCGAGCGCGGCGGGCTTGCCTACCTCCAGGTTTGCAGGCGCTCACAGTGTCGTGGAAGCCGTGGAAAGTTTGCGCTTATCGGTTGTGGCTGCTCTGGCTGGGGGCGGGCGCTACCTGGACTGCCACACTGGTCCTGTTTAGCTCGACGCTTCCAGCGTGCCGCCAGCGCTCCAGACACATCCCTTGCCGCGCAACTTCCATGCGGGGCGATGCGGAGCCTGTCGGCCTGTCCCGTGTCATAAGGCACCACGGCCGTCTGCGCCCTCCCGCACCCTCCCCCCTCCCTGTCTCCCTCCCCCTCGTCTTATCTTTGTTTTTTTTCGCCCCCCTCCCCCACCCCCTCTGGCTGGCCCCGCCGTACAAAACCCCTTCACCGCACAGTCTTGCCCAGAATTTATTGTTGCCCGCTTCCAGGTTGGTGGCTCCAGCTTTCCTCCAGCTTTTCTCCAGCGCCGAGTCGTAATTGGCCTGCAGTACACGGCCGTAAATACTGTTCGCGTTTTCACTGAAAAACCAAACGTGGTCCAGACCGCACCACTGGTGTGGTCAGATGGATGCCATTTTGACCACATCAGTTGGTGTGGTCTAGACCACGTTTGGCCACTTTTGGTGCGGTCTAGACCACGTTTGGCCACGTTTGGTGTCCATCCAGGCATCCATTTGACCACACCAGTTGGTGCGGTGTAGACCACGTTTGGTTTTTCAGTGTTCGCTTTGATTTTATTTTATTTTGCCGTATTTCGGTGGTTGACACACTCACTGCTCGGGTTTCGACGACCCACTCCCGACCTGTCTACACGTCTAGCAGAAGGGACGCACAGTGGGCCAGAAGACCGGCGGAGGCGGCCACAACTCCAGACGCGCTTTGAGCTCCAGAGTCGCTAAATGGGACTCGGACCGAACGAGTAACCCCACCAATGGATTGCTCTCCGAACGAGGAATCCATTGGTGGGTTCACACGTTCGGTTTTCTGGTCTTCTGGCCCACTGTGGGACGCCCTCCTGGAACGCGCCTGCAATGAACGACCCGAATGAAAGAATGAATGAATGTTCGCAGTGTGGGCGCGGTGCTGCTGGTGGCCGAGGGGGCCCAGCGGCTGGCCCACTGGCTCCAGGCGCGGCGGCGGCCGACCACCCCACTGCTCTGGGCTACGCTGTTCCTACTCGGCGTCCTGGCCGCGAGGACCGTGGTTCGAAACCGGGACTGGAGCACCAGGGAAAGCCTCATTCTGTAAGCACAACTAACACACTGATAAAAAAATTTGTTGAGTACTGGAAAACTCACAAAAGCTTTTGTTTTTTAAATTTGTGTACTATACGTGCCGGAAACCCATTCAAAGTAAAAACATGGAAAACTCTGAAAATTTACAACATGTTGCCTGAGAATTTCCATGATTTGTTTTAACAGTGTAGTGTGAATTTAGAAACAAAAAGTGAAAAAAATGTGAAAAAAAAAGTTTTGACTGACTAACCACGGTGGCCAACGCGCAGGTCGGGGCTGCGGGCGGTGCCCAACAACGCCAAGCTGCACTACAACCTCGCCAACTGGCACAAGGACTCGCAGCGGGAAGGACTCGCCGCGCTGCACTACAGGAAGGCTCTCAGGTAAGGAGCTCCAAGTCTTCCTCGTTTCTGGAAAAGCACACACACAGTGGAGACGGGTGTACAGTGCGCCAGAGGTAGGGATTTAAAGCCTGGTAAACTTACCGGTAAGAACGGGTAAAATACCGGTAATTTACGGTAATTTACCCTGCGGAAATCGGTAAATTACGGTAATTTTCAACTTAACCTAACCTTCCTGATGTTTTTACAGCAGAAATTTACTCAGAGTGCACAAAGGCATGAATATTTGACAACAAAAGTGCCTCAATTTTCAACTTAACCTAACCTTCCTGATGTTTTTACAGCAGAAATTTACTCAGAGTGCACAAAGGCATGAATATTTGACAACAAAAGTGCCTCAACCACTTTCATATGCCTTTTAAAACACTCCGCTAGTCTTAAATTCCCTTTGAAAACAAATAATTTACTGTTCATATGCAAAAGTGCACATAAACATAAGATCGATTTTTTCCGTTTTTTACCGTAAATGACGGTAAATTACCAATTTTACCGTAATTTACCGTCCAGATTGAAAATTACCGGTAATTTTAAAACCCTAGCCAGAGGACCGGTGGAGGCGGCCAAAACTCTCGACGCGTTTTGAGCTCCAGAGTCGCTAAATGGGACTCGAACCGAACGTGTGACCCCACCAATGGATTGCTCTCGGCCCTCACACCTCGCCACTCCTCGGCACAGCACTCGGTCTTTTTCTATCTCCTCATTGCTTGCGCGTTGTATTCCATTTCCCCTTGTTCCGTGTTGATTAAACAGTCGCACGCAGTGCGTATTGTTCTCGGAAGTAGCGTATTGAAGTGACAAAGGGAAAATAACAGACTAATCGGTGGAGGGGAGGGGCGGCTCATAAATACTGCTCTCTCTTTCTCCCCTCCCCCTGCTCGTTTGCTCACAATTAGATTTGCGCCACGCTCCGGCCTTGGCAGCGATGACAGACCCCATGATGAATGGGTATCAGGCTTCCCTCGCCTTTGTTCTCCTCCGCTCAGTTTATTCCAGCTTTTCCTTTTTTTATTGTTTTTATTCGTTTTCAAATTGATGTTGTTTTTTTTATTGCAATAGCTTGTCGCCCGAAATCGCCTTCAGCGAACGTGGTCACAAGGAATTTTGCTCGAGTCTTAGCCTGTTTATTTTCTCTCGGTTATGTCTTGAGTAAATTCTCTGTGAACGCTACTTCCTGTTGGGAGTAGTTGCTTGAGTGGCACTTAATGGTCTGCTCGGGGTGCAGCAGTTTGACAGAGGCAAGTAATCTCTGGGCCCACTCTGTGCCATGGGGTACGTCGCGCAGCGCGACAGCTCACAGTGGGCCAGAAGACCGGTGGAGGCGGTCAAAACTCCAGAAGCGTTTTCAGCTCCAGAGTCGCTAAATGGGACTAGAATTGAGCGTTTGACCCCACCGTTCGGAGAGCAATCCATTGGTGGGGTCATACGTTCGATTCGAGTCCCATTTGGTGACTGTGGAGCTCAAAACGCGTCCGGGTTTTCGACCAACTCGCCCACTGTGTGACGGGGTTCCCGCTCGAGGAGCGTGTCCTGGACGTCCTGGAGCGGGGACTCCAAGCCCAGGGCGACGGCAACTCGGCTGGAGGCGGGCTTCTCCAGGAACTGCTGGAGGATTATTAATTCACCAGTCATTTTTTTCTGCGAAACAGTGAGGCTGTTCATTTTGCGCGGACAAGTCCTTTTTAGCGTCCCTGGAGGTTAAAACGCGTTTAGAATTTTGGCCCCCTTCACCGGCCTTCTGGCCCACTGTGGGACGGCCTCTTCGAGAACCTTCGGGAACCTTCGGGAAAGGGGTGGCGTATGTCCCGAGGCCCCTCATCAGAGCCAACAAGTCTAATTAATGGGCCGTCGAGTCTCCGCGAGGCTTCGCCGGGCTTCGCGCTTCGCGAGGTGCCAGAGGACAAACAGGCCAACTTGCTGAACTGAAATAACGAAATGCGTTCCGCCGGGGGGAGACGGTAAAATTGGAAAGCAGAGCTCCCAGGCACAGTGGCCCAGAAGACCGGTGGAGGCGGCCGAAACCCTAGACGCGTTTTCAGCTCCAGAGTCGCTAAATGGGGCTTGAACCGAACGTGTGACCCCACCAATGGACTCCTCGTTCGGAGAGCAATCCATTGGTGGGGTCACTCGTCCGGTTCGATCCCCATTTAGCGACTCTGGAGCTCAAAACGCGTCTTGAAGTTTTGACCGCTTCCACCGGTCTTCTGGCCCACTGTGCCTGGCTGCGTTTCTCCGCCTGACGGGCCTTTGCTGACTGCGCATCGCTGAGTGTGCTTGGTGTTGCAGGCTGTGGCCGGACTACGCGTCCGCCGCCAACAACCTGGGCACGCTGCTGCGCGACCCGGCCGAGGCCGAGGTGCTCTTCCTGGAGGCCATCCGCGCGCACCCCGAGCACGTCAACGCGCACTACAACCTGGGCCACGTCTACAGGTGCGTTCACAATTCGAAATCCACGCGGCTCCATGTCTTGTTTTAGCGGTCTTGCTACCGTCTAGCTCGCATCCGATCCGCTCAACCACCAATCCATCATTCAGCCCCTGGGCTCGGAGGGACTGCTGGTCGTGTTGGTCGTGTGCTGCTCTCCTGGCCGCCACCGCCCCGCCTCGCCGAGCCGTCCCCACGCCTCACAGCCACCCCACCCTTCTGCCCCCTCCTGCCGGCTCCCGCCGTCCAGGGAAACCGCTTTGCTAGCTCCTTGGCGGCTTTTTTTTTTCCTCAGCGAAGTGGGTTTTGTCCAACAATGCATCACTTTAGAGGAACTGAAAAACGTAAGCCGCCCAGCCTGTGTTCTTGCCTCTCTCTCTCTCTCTCTCTCTCTCTCTCTCTCTCTCTCTCTCTCTCTCTCTCTCTCTCCTCCTCCCTCTCTCTCTCTCTCCTCTCTCTCACACACACACACACATACACACACGCTGCGCAACTCTGACACTGCCTTGACACCTCACACTGGAAGTGCGCGCGGAGACAAAAGCAGTGCGATGAGGGTGTCTCGAGGAAGTGTGCGTTGACTTCTTGATGCCACGTGCCTCTGCCTCTCTCTCTCTGTCTCTCCCTCCCCGCCACGCCCGGGGCCAGGCAGCCACTTGGCTGGCTGAGACAGGGCCTCGTGACAAATGGCACTAACGAACAACGCCAAATAAATGCGACTGTGCAGGCGGGGGCGGGGTGCGGCGGGGCGGGGCGGGGTGCGGCGAGCAGTGGCGTTCACACCTCTCTGTCTGTCCCTCTCTCTTTTCAATCTTCGCTTCGTCCCTGTGTCTCTCTCTTTAGCAATCTGCCGTAAGGGCGCAGGGCGTTTTTGCTCCTCTCCGCGTTCCGTTTTTGCTCCATTTTCAACCCCCTCCACCTCCCCATGTCGTCGGGGTGCCAGACGGCGCGTGACGGTGACCGGGAGAGGCAAAATTTGCCGAATGCACATTCTTAAATAAAGGAAGCTTTCGCGTTAGAAAAGGCCGTTGTACGAGACAGTGAGGCTGTAAAGCTGCCGGGGTTCCCCACCCCCTTTCAGTTCGCGAGAGAACCTCTTCCTTACCGGCGCCTAACCTAACCTGAAAGTGAATGCGGCATGACGGCTGGCTGGCTGGCGCATTCACGTGCACGACGGCTGTCGCTCGTCGCTCTCTTTTCCTCTTGGTGAACCGCCTCCTTCTCTCTCGCTCTCTCTCTCTCTCTCTCTCTCTCTCTCTCCTCCCCCCCCCCTCTCTCTCTCTCTCTCTCTCTCTCTCTCTCTCTCTCTCTCCCTCTCTCTCTCTCGCTCTCTCTCTCTCTCGGCGCGCCGTGCACCTGCCCACTTTCCCCAAAGAATATTTTTCTTTGACTCCTCTGAGCCGCGCCGCCGCGCCGTGCGAAGCCATGCGGCATCGCATTGACGTGGCTCTGAAAGCGGTGCCCTATATAGGCCCGGCCTCGGCCCGGCGTCCCCAGGCCGTATAAAGACACTCGTAAACTTGGCAAGTGTCTCTCTTACGCGCCGCCGCGCGCCGCCGCGCCAGGACACTTCCACAACACCCTCGACACGGCGCGGCCTAGGCGCGGCGCGGCCCCAGCCCAGCCCCAGCGCCATGCTAAGTGTCACCAAACTTGGGAAAAAGTTGGCCCTTTGATTTATCCCAACTCGCTAAGAGACTAAGAGCGCGGCGGCGGATCGGGGATGGATGCGCCGCCTACCCGCGCCGCGTCACGCACGCCGACGCACGCGAAGCACGCTAAGCACGCCAACTTCCAGCCGGCGGCTTCGTGACAAACGCACGGCGTGGTGGCGGCTCACAGTGGGCCAGAAGACCGGTGGGGACGGACAAAATTCTAGACGCGTTTTGAGCTCCAGAGTCGCTAAATGGGCCTCAAGCCGAACGTGCGACCCTACCAATGGAGTGCTCTCCGAACGAGGAATCCATTGGTGGGGTCACACGTTCGCTTCAAGTCCCATTTAGCGACTCTGGAGCTCGAAACGCGTCTAGAGTTTCGGCCGCCTCTGCCGGTCTTCTGGCCCACTGTGCGGCTACCCTGCCAGAAGCTTGAACCTGTTTGAATGTAAATCCAGGCGCTGGAACCGGACGGGCGAGGCGGTGCGGATGCTGGAGTGGTGCCTGCAGCTGGACCCTTGGTACGCCCCCGCGTCGCTGCTGCTGGCCTCCCTGCAGCCTCACCGGGCCGGCGCAGTGTACCGTGCGCTGGCGCACCGCAGCCCCTCCGTCCACGGCGCGCTGTACGCGCGCTGGCTGCTGCAGCACAGTACGTGTCCAATGGCCGAGTGGGTTGAGTCGTCGGCTCGGGAGTTGAAACTACCGGTTCAAATCTCCACAAATTATTTTTTTTTTTGTGTTTTGTCTTTTGTTTTTGTTTTTTCGGCTCGGCCTCTCTCACTTTGTGGTTGTTCTGCCTCTTGTACTCGCAGACCGTGTCACCGAGGCTTTGCACCACCTGCGCCAGTCCCTGCGCGCGCACCCCGAGAACCCCTCGGAGGACCCCGAGCGCAAGGTTGCCTTCCTGGGGCTGCTGCGAGCGACGCGGGCCGCGGGACAGACGGGCAGGGTCCGCCAGCTGGTCCTCAGGCAAGCCCGATGGAGACCGTGGAGGGGCGCGGCGCACAGTAGTGGGCCGGAAGACCGATGGAGGCGGCCAAAACTCTGGACGCGCTCTGAGCTCCAGAGTCGCTAAACGGGACTCGAACCGAACGTGTGACCACCAATGGATTGCTCTGTGATAGAGGAATCCATTGGTGGGGTCACTCGTCCGGTTCGAGTCCCATTCAGCGACTCTGGAGCTCAAAACGCGCGAAGAGTTTTAGCCGCCTCCACCGGTCGTCTGGCCCACTGTGTGGCGGAGAGAACAGGTCTAGTCCATGACCCCCTCTGTCTTCTTTTGACAGGTGGCGTGTGCTCTTCCTGCCCCGAGGGCGACCCTGGGCGTCGTCGCCGCTCACGGACCCCTTCTTGCTGGGGGTGCGCCTCCAGGCCCACTACGGCATCCACAACGTGGCCCACACCGAGGCCCACACCGCCCACACGCACAGCGCCGTCGCCCACAGCGTCGCCCACACCTCCAAGTGCGGCATGAGCCTGTCATGACGGCAGTGTGGGAGACGCACAGACACTGCCGCACGCGGCTCTGCAAGACTGACCCACTGGCGGCGTTCCTCGCTGAGCGCCACCCAAAGAAACTGCCATCAAGACTTTTTCAACCGCGAGGTCCAAGAAAGTAGCTGTTGAAGCTTGATTCTCTTTGCCCCCGGCTTAGAATGACTTTTGTTCTTTCGAAATAAGAAGCAAACGAAGCAAACGAAAACTGAGATGAAAAAATTAATTGTTATAAAATGCTTCTGTTAGTTTTCTTTTCTCTGAGACCTCTGAGATGAGCAAATTAATTGTTATAAAATGCTTCTGTTAGTTTTCTTTTCTCCCTGTTCTCGCCTACGCAGCACATTGCTCAAAGCATTCCAGTTTTTCGCCACAAAAAGACCGTCAGGGTTTAGGAATTCTAAGCGAGTTGGTGGCTGAGTGGGCTAAGGAGTCGGCTGCCGTGGGAAAAGCTCGGGTTCGAGTCCCGTAGCCTTCAATCTTTTCCTGAGTTTGGTTCCCAAACCCTCGAACCAATCAGGTCTCAGTTTGGGCAAGGGTGAACCGTTTGATATGGTGGCTCAGGGCGCAGAGGTAGTGGTCGCCAGAAGAGAAGAAACAGGTCCAAGTCCCAGATGTGTAAATGTTTTCCTCAGTTGAACCGTGAATCCCGTACCACCAGTATCAACATCGCGCAGAGGAAGTGGTCGTCCCGAGTGAACCTTGGGTTCAGAGACGCGGCTCCCTCTTCCTCCCTGTCCGTGCCCCAACACACGCGTGTCTAATAGGTGGCGCGCCCTTGCTGCTAGCTCACACTCGGATGCAAAAGAGTTCCCGCCGTCGGCCCCTCCCCCCCCTCGTCCACCCGGCTGGACCACAACGAGGCCCTCGCGCCGTTGCCGTCGACAGTCTTTGATGCAGCTGTTTGTTTTGTTAATTACGTTGTGCAGCTTTGGTCACTGTTTATTTAACCAACGCCCCTGTAACGGGGCGTTACGCAGGCCGAGGTCAAAAATGAAAATGAGATGGGGCATTGCTGGAGAAAAACACCAGAGATCCGTTCAAATTTCTTTAATGCTCAGTTTTTCAGTTCAGTCTTGTGCTAAATATTATTCAACAAATTTATAAACTTACATGTGTGCCTTAAAAGAAAAAACAAACAAACTTTACATTACACTTAGAATATACTCTATCCAAATCAGGTAATTAAAATATATGAATTAAAAATAAACAATCACACACACACAAACACATTTGTTTTACAATGCAGGCAATCCTGCAAGGAACCCAGAGTAAAAGACCTGGTAAATATGTTCAGAAAATGACACATTCTCAATGAAAATAGGCAAACTGGGTGCACCACACCAGACCAAAATCATCCGATCAAAATCAGTGCAATACAATGAAAAATCAATTAATTACAATATTTGTACAGGTCTAAAAAAACACATTCAGATACACAAATGTCAAGAACAAATTTTTTCATCTTTGACAGCAAAAATATTTATGTGGACCAGTTGACTCTCTTTTTGGGTGTTGATGATAAAGATGTACTTCTGTGTCTAGATGATCGTGATGATGGTGGGCTTGGAGGAGGACTTGATGCTGGACTAAGCGGCTCTTTAGGGGAGGGAGTTGAGATTGTCGGAAGAGAGTCCAACGATATGGCTCCCAACAACCGACCAGGGGATCCTGAAGTGTTGTGACCAGTGTCACTGGAATCCGCTTCAATACTGACATTCAAGGAGAGGGATACTCCAGGAGCAACTGCTACATCTGCGGAGCGCGAAACTTTACGCTCCGCAGCTAATTGTCATATGTCTGGCCTGTAAATAGAAACATGGAGTAAGTACAGAATGTTTTTGAAAAAGGTCAATAGCATTTTCAATAAATTCAAAACATAACTAGGGTGCAGCAAAAAAAAAACACATGCAAAATGACTCCCAAGCTATACCAAACAAACACAAAAGTCACTGACGTTCATCACCATTTTAATAAAATCAAAACTACAATGTAACAAATGACAGAGCTGAGTCAAACATGCAATGCTCAGTTCTGTGTGGCTTGGGTCATTCTTTGGGGCTGGAGCTGAATGTGCACTCGGGCAGCAGACACAGCTTTCCCTGGTCCTTGGGAGCCCGCAGGGGTTGCACGCAGTAGAGGAAGAACGACGTAAGTTCCTTGAGAATTGCCACCTGGCTGGCCAAGCACTCTGGCATCGGGGCCCACAAAGACATAGCGTGCAGTACAAGACTGCAGATGGTGGCCCGACGGAGAGAGTTTTCCCTCAATGTCGCGTGGGTATGCAGTGGTGCTACATGGAGTCTCTGTTGGGGCTGATGGGGAGTGACCAAGGTGACCCTTTGCTGATGACTGAACCATGTGGAATGTTATGTGTGGGTTTTCTTTATCCGCCTGCTAGAAAGGGTCAAAATTGTCAACTTTTGGGCAACGAGTGTTTGACAAAGTTTTTATACTAAAGTCATATTGAAACTTTCAGTCTCACCACTGCTGCACCCAAAGAATTGTGATCTTGAGGCGCGATAACTCTTGCTTCTAATGGTGCAGCGGCAGAGGGACCAGGAGAGTAAGTATTGCCAAAAACATACTTTGCAGTGCATGATTCAATATGTTGACCAGAAGGAGTATAGGTACATTCAATATCTTGAGGAAATGCCGCATCTGCCACTCTGCACATCAAGAAATTTACTGCTAGGTAATCCATGAATTGATAGTTAATCTTAGAATATGTTCCTACAACAAAGACTATGATTTGAACTGCTAGGGTTGCTCCTATACCTCAGCAAACAGAACCACATTTTTGTGTAGGAACACTTTGGGTTTAAGAAAGAAATAAAATTGGAAAGGACTGGCTTTGCTCTGTCATTGTTCAATGGTTCAATTAAAATTTACTGAAATGCTCTATGACTTGTATTATGGATCCAACTTTCGAGCTGCTAGATTTTCAAAGAAGGAAGTGTGCCGTTGATGTTTTAGCGGCACCTTACCTGTTAAAAATAAGGAGGCAAATAAACACAATCTGATTTATGAATTTTAGTGAGACCGCATACATTGTCAACATTCGGAAAGACGCACACCATTTACATTACAGTCATAAGAGATTTCATCACTGCCACTGAAATTCCCTGAGTCCAAAGAAGTTCCTTTTGAAGCACTTCTTGCAGATTTGATTTTACAGCACTTTGGTTTCTGAAATTTTGGGATTGCAGGTAAAACATTACTTGATTTTTTGCCTGGTTGAAAACACACATGTAGACTTGTAGGAATTGTGCTGAAAAAAAAATGACAAAAGTGACTAATTTTTCCTTTCTTAAAGAATATGATTCAGTCTTCTTGAAAATGAAAACACTGACACAAAGCAGCATTCTTTGAGATCATGTGATTTATGAGAGTCTCTATGACTGACAGAACTCTTGGTTGACATGGTTGTAGAGGTAGCCGATAAACACATGCTTTTGGAGTTAAGGTGACTATTCCTGCAAGGAGCGCATTGTCACTTCAAAAGCAAAAAAAAGTACCCAATCTGAAATTTAAAACACAAGTAAATTGCTCATACAAACTTTTGACGCACTCCACAAAATTTTGTATCCTGGCCCGTTTCATTTTGTATTACAGCACTGTCTGTTTTTATATTTTCTTTTCCCTCTGGTCTAGGGTTTGGGCCTGGGGTTTTTGATTGATTGCTGCAAGCATCTGAACTTGTGTTCTTGTTACCAGTATTACAACTTTTCTTGCAGGAAGTAGGCCTGTCACCCACCTCATTCTTAATGTGAGATGTGAAAGAGGACTCTTCAGGAGAAATTTCTGGTCTACCATGGCCATTGTTCAAAGCAATTTCCATTTGGGCAACAGATACACTTTTATCCCCACCACCCTGAAATTGCAGATTGTTGTAATTGAGAAGGCAACAAACATAATCATAACACTGAAAATTGACAACCAACCAGAGCAGATAACGGAAGGTTTGAAACCTGATTATGATCCAATCCCGAGTTGGTCCCCAGACATGGCATATTAGGTTCTCCAATAATTAGGGACTGCTCAATACATGACTGCAAATGCTGCAATTCTTTTTGCAGGAGTTTGTGTTGTTCTTGCTGCTGCTTTTGCAAAAGTTTCTGTTGTTGTGCTAACTGTTGTTGTAAAAGACATTCTTGTTCTAAGACCTGTTGTTCCTGAAGCTCCTGTTGTTGCTGCATCAATCTTTGTTGCTGCATTAACTGCTGCTGCTGCTGAGCCAACTGTATTTGCTGTCTTTGCTGTTGAAGCTGAAACAGGGGCAGCAAGGGGCCTGATCCCAACAGATTATGTGTTTGCACATTAAGCCTGAAAGGTAATGAGGGGTGAGTTTTGTTTATACACGACAAGCTTCAGATTACAAGACACACACACAAATCGAGCAGACCTATCAGAAATATCAGCTCTCTCCGAACTATACATGGTTTGCAAAGTTGCCTGCACATGTGAGTTTGTCACTCCAACTTGAAATCGAAATTGCCGTGTTTTTTCTGAGTCACCCACAGGCAGCCCTCTCATATTATTCATATGTACAGTATCTGTTGGCGAACGTTGACCCTGAGAATTTTGACACATCCTGTCAGCAGGCTGGACTAAATGAGGTTTTTCATTTTGGGACTCAACATGCGAGTTTTGCTCATATCCAGCAGACATAAGAGATTCTTCCTTGTCAGTTGGTAAACTGTTATCGTGATCTTGACTTGAATTCAGAAATGAGTGTCTTGTGAAGCTTGATGCAGGTTCAGAGGATCTAGCATTACTTCCAAAGGAAGTTTGGTGCCTGGAATAAGTTGATCTATCTTCTTTACTGTCAACAATTGAGGAATGTGCTGTCGAATAGTTTGACATATTTTCTTTTAGTTGATCTTCTGGGAATTTTCTTTTTAAAGTAGGATGAGCATCGGAATGAAGACTTGTTTTCCATAGCTTAGAGGAAAAAGACGATTCAGTCATATCGTCTTCTTTGGTACTTATTGATGACAACATGGATGGAGAGACGGTACTAGGTGTTTCAAGGTGAATAGCTGAACCGGATAGAAGACTTGTAGGGCAACTGCTGGGAAATTGAATGAGAGGGTTCGGGCCAGGAGTAGTGCTTCGACTAACATTTGAAGAAACACTTGTTGAGAGAGAAGCTGATTTTGGTGCATCTTCTGGGCTGGAATTGAGATGATGTATGTATTTGATTATTTGATAAGATGATGGACTAAATTAGCAAGCACAAAGTTAATTATTTTTTACCTGGCATGCAGCCTAGGAATGGCTATAGAACTAATTCTTAAGCATGGGTTTTTATTTTTCCCCTCAAATTCACTTTCTGTTGAAGGCACTTTAGGAGAATGTCCATTTCTCATTCCGGCTTGATTGTGCATGAGGATGCCGCCTTTGGCCATCTTGGATGCCCTGTGAGCAACACAATCCCAAATGGAATTCTCAACCAAACCAGCAGAGCAGTTACTATGAGACCAAGGATTGACTTACATATCAATCTCAAGTAAACCGAATATTTGGGTGCGCTCTCTCATTTCGCTTTCTGTAGCTTGGCATGCTGGTCGAGGGACTTCCATTTTCAGCTCAAGGCCACAGTTGGCTTGATTTGGTGTCATAGGCCGCACCCAGCCCAAGTCTGCTGATCTTACACTTCACAGTCAAGAAACTTCAGTAAATTGTGGTAAAAATAAAAAATGAAAAGAAAACAATAGTATGGTACTGACTAAAAGATTGAACAGAGCAAAGCTAGCCTAATAGATGTTCCATCCATTTCCACATGAAAGAACCAAGGCTGGAGCAAGCCAAAATTCACAAGAAATGGATGAGACATTTGGGTTGAACGTAAAGTTATATGCAAGAGTGCAAAATACCTGGGGTCATGAGCATCAAATCGAGTATTTCTGATGTGCGCTGTTATATCACCAGCCTGCTCAGGAACATCGCCTCCATACCACTGAGCCCCCTATCCGTGACAACATCCATGAGGAACCAGAAAATGGACGGAATCAGTGAACTCGACATGCAACACTTACTCTGGCAGAGGAATGTGCCTCCCTCTGTGAGGATGTTCGGCGACTGGCATGTGGCCGATTTGAGTGTGGGGAAACCTGAATTTTCTTGTTGTGTTCGGCAGGGGGCGGGCCGCACGGACAGTGCTCGGTGCCCACATTCCTGTTTCTGGGCTCAGAGGGTGGAGGTTCGCATGAACACGCTACACTGCTGGTCACCTTCTTGCTCTGTTCCACTGTTGGAGGTCCACAGCAACACGTACTGACGCCATTCCTCCTCATGTCAGGAGGCCCACATGAGCAGGAGCTACATGAATGGCAGTTGATGAACACCATGGAAACTGATGCGTAAAAAGGCAGAAACACTGGCCCAACTGAGGAGGTCTTGGGATGCGAAACAGGTTGCCACAAGCATCAATAAGTGTGATGAGAAGCAAGCATATGAATAGTGCCAACGAGTTTTCTAAACAAAGCAACTACCCACTAAAATATCATAGAAGAACCTTGGCACCAACTAAAAACAACGTTACCTTCATGCCCCAAACATGCAAACTACTGGAACAGCATGCAGAAAATTTACCTTCTTGGAGTTTCTGTGTGCTTATAGCGATATGGTTCCGGCTCAACATCCTTAGCTCGCCTGCTGTCTACATCCCGAGACCTTCTATCTTGAGACGATCTATCTTCATACCTTCTATTTTCTTCTGAGTAGCGAATATTTTCAGCTGCTTCTCTCCTGGCATCGGCAACATGTCTTCGGCTAGAGCGTTCTGATTCTTCGAGACCAGCAATGCGCTCCTTCAAATTTTCAATGGTGTCTCTGCACCTCTCAACTTCAGTTCTGGCATCATCAAGGGTTTGCGCTAAACGCTCATTGTCAGCTCTCATTTGTCGAACTTCGTGCTCCCTTTCACTGGCATTTGCTGTTAGGGAAGATTGTTGTTGAGTTTGCTTCTCCATTTGTGACATACTTTGTTGTAATCTTCTTTCATATTCCACAACATTCTCTCGATTCCTTTCTAAAAGTTCTTCAGCTTTGTTTGCCCGAGATGTGAGTTGGTCGACAGTATGTTGCAGAGCCTCAAGTTGAGATGTCATCTTAAAAGCAGAAATAAATGACACATGATGGCGATGAAGTTGGTATCAAAACAACTAAACAAACATAAAACCCGACGTACCGTTCGGTTGTCCTGCTCAAGTTCAGCTGCTCTTGCAGCTTGTGCAGAAGCTTGGCTTCTGCTTTCAGCGAGAAGATTTTCCATAGACTGTATAGTAGCTCGAAGCTCTTGCTGTTGTCGTTCCAGTAAAGCATGCTGCTCAGTCAAATCTTGAGTCTGGCGCTCTGCCTGAAGAAACAAATTTCAAGATGGTTTAAATACAATTAAGTAATTTTAAATACCACAAATGAGTTGGAAAATACATACATATTCTTTTTGTTGCTGTACGTTGTCCAACATATCTTGAAGGGCTTCTTTCTGAGATTCCAGCTGCCGAGCCAACCCATGGGCTGACTGAAGATCCCTCTCAGTCGACTCTCTTGCCAAGCGGGACTCTTCCACCTGCCTCTCTAAGTGAGCAATGGACCCAGAGAGCTGCTCGATCTATGAACCAAGGTACAACATTGAAACTACAAATGGAACAACAGGCTTAACCCTACCTCCTTTCAAATACTCGAAAGCAACATACCTGTTTCTCATAGCTCCCAACAATTTCATCTTTTTCTGCGAGCTGGTGATTCAAAGAGTGCACTTGCTCTCGGTATTGGTCCAGAGAGCCACGCATGCTGTTGTACTCCGTCTCTAGAGTCATATTGTGAGTGTCTAATTTGGAAGCCTCATCACTCAAATTGCGGAAAGTCTCAAGCATGTCACTCCTCTCTGCTTCCTGTTCCAGAGAAAATTAATTACAAAGGCAGCAAAATTACAAACTAATAAATTAGGCATGCAACACTTGTGATTGAATAGAAAGTAGGGAGTAGAGTCAAACCTTCTCTCCCAACAGCTGCTCAAAGCGCTCCACTTCCAACACGTAGATCTGCAGTTGGCGCTTCATGTTTTCCACTTCGCGACAGGACTCCTCGTAGCTGTCAGTGGTCGCTCGCAAAGAGGCCGTCATAGCGGCTAGCTCTTCCTGGAGACGCCTGCGACACGCAAAGGGGGACAAGTTGAACACGACGACACACTACACAGCCCGGGGTGCAAGTCGAAGCACAGTGGGCCAGAAGACCCGTTGAGGCGGCCAAAATTCTTGACGCGTTTTGAGCGCCAGAGTCGCTAAATGGGACCCGAACCAAACGTGTGACCCCACCAATGGATTCCTCCTTCGGAGAGCAATCCATTGGTGGGGTCACACGATCGGTTTGAGTCCTATCTAGCGACTCTGGAGCTCAAAACGCGTCAAGAATTTAGGCCGCCTCCACTGGGCTTCTGGCCCAAGGTGCGAAGGGTTGCCTACCCAAGAACTCTCTCAACGCCTGCACACAGCAGGGTAGGCAACCCATCCTGCATCCGCGTCAACGGCTGGGCTAAGCAGCCGGCTGACTTGACTTGGCGAGTGACTCAGAATGTCGATTCGTCGCTCAGTCTCTGTCGCACCCTTAAGGAGAGCTCCGCGAGTACGGAGACAGGGCAACGAAACGACTCGGCTTGTAGAAGACGCTACACAGTGGGCCAGAAGACTGGTGGAAGCGGACGAAACTCGAGACGCGTTTTGAGCTCCAGAGTCGCTAAATGGGCTCGAACCGAACGTGTGACCCCACCAATGGATTGCTCTCCGAACGAGGAATCTATTGGTGGGGTCACACGTTCGGTTCGAGTCCCATTTAGCGACTCTGGAGCTCAAAACGCGTCTAGGATTTCAGCCGCTGGCCCACAGTGCTAGTTCCCTAGCTCGCTTACTTGTTCTCGCGGGCGGCGCCCTCGCTGGCCGCGGCCAGGTTGCGCCTCGCGTTCTCCGCCTCGTCGTAGTCCCTCGTCATGGCGCGCAGCGACTCCTCCAGCTCGGCCCGCACCTTCTGGTCGCGCCTGCAACGAGACAGAGACACGGTTCAACTCTACAGTTTGCATTCGAGTGGCTGCTGTTTCTGTCACTTTTATCAGACGTCGCATCATTCCGTAATGCTTAAAATGAATTATATAACCAGCTCAATAATTTCTGTGAGTTTTTTCTAGGATATCTGTAAGGTAGAATGAATTGTGAACTGTTAGTTACGAAGTCAGCTGCACCATCATATTATGAAGAATTTTCACCATAATATGGAGAATCTTCACCATAAGACTTTTAGAGTGCAGAGCACTGCAGCGAGAGAGAGAGAGGAAAGATAAGTGCCTCTCTGGCGGCAATAATTAGAAACCGGGAAAATCAGTTCCGGGCATCGGGGCGCGGAAGCGCGGACTGCAGACCGATTCCGAGAGTCGTCTTCGTCGCTCTGTCTCTCTCGCACCTGCACGGGACGCCCCATGAGTGCGAGAGAGACAGGGCGACGAAAACGACTCTCGGAACAAGTCTGCTGCGGACGCCAACGGCAGCGCGAACCGCACCGCACACCGGCGGCCGATAGTGCAGCCACTTAATGATAAGGACCTCGGTGCCGGGACTTGTCCATACAGTGGCTGGCCGCTGCACAGTGGGCCGGAAGACCGGTGAAGGCGGTCAAAACTCTAGACGCGTTTTGAGCTCCAGAGTCGCTAAATGGGACTCGAACCGAACGTGTGACCCCACCAATGGACTCCTCGTTCGGAGAGCAATCCATTGGTGGGGTCACACGTTCGGTTCGAGTCCCATCTAGCGACTCTGGAGCTCAAAACGCGTCTGTATGAGCGGCGAATCCAAGGGAAGGGAGGCTAGGTTAGGCAGAACCCGCGAAACATGCCGCGCGCTTACGCCTAGCCCATCCCGCGTCCAAGACGGTCCATCGCCACGCCGTCAGGCCGTCCAGGCCGCAGGAAGCGATTCCGCCCATCGTCGCTCTGTCTCTCTCGCACTCACGGGGCGCGGCGCGCAGGCGCGAGAGAGACAGAGCGAGCCGCCGCCCCGCCGGGGGAAAGTTACAGTGAGCTTTGGCCGATTTACGGTGCATTGTGGCGATGGCGCGTTGTGCCGCACGCGTTCATTGCGCGCAGACAGGTCGACAGCGCTCCGTCTCTCTCGCACACCGTCGGGGCGCCGAGACCGCGACACCCAAAGGTCGCCGTCGGCGCCCATAAGCCCCTCACCACACAGTGGGCCAGAAGACTGGTGGAGGTGGACAAAACTCTAGACGCGTTTTGAGCTCCAGAGTCGCTAAATGGGATTCGAACCGAAAGTGTGGCCCCACCAATGGATTCCTCGTTCGGAGAGCATCCATTGGTGGGGTCACACGTTCGGTTCGAGTCCCATTTAGCGACCCTGGAGCTCAAGGCGCGTCTAGAGTTTTGTCCGCCTCCAGCGGTCTTCTGGCCCACTGTGCACCACCCGTCTTAAACGCGAGCGTACAGTGATGCGGAGCAGTGCCGAGCAGGCTGACTGCAGTCGGAGTAACTCAGTAGGGGAAACTGGACCCCACATTTCATTACGTAGAGTCTCCATTCCAATTTGGGAAAAGGTGGCGACTGTATGGGAAGGCCAATTTTTTTTTAGTATCACATCTCGATCAATTTCTCGACGTGCATTCAATTTCATGAACCTACAGGTTTCTCACAATTAATTTTCCATACCTGGTAATTCTAAAAGTTCTTTTCTTATTTTTTTTTTAGCTTTTTTGCTTCTGAATCATTAGTTTTTTTTCTATTCTGGGCATGATGGTGCCGTTGAAATCCAGAAACCTGGCTTTCCTCCAGTCCAATGTCGTTTCATTCCACCCAGCCCAGCAGAAACCGCTTCCGAACGAACAGTGCTTTCGTCGCCCTGTCTCTCTCGCACCCATACGGGACGCCCCATGAGTGCGAGAGAGACAGAGCGACGAAAGAAGCTCCGCTCGGAATCGGCCGCCGCTTTTCAATAATCCCACACGCGTTGTCGTGCACCGCGAGGCGGCGCGCATATCGCTCGCCCGTTACGTGCTTCGCGGGGCGGAACGTCACCTCACACCGTTCTAGGGCACGGCGTCACGAGCAGGGCGCCCCGCCCCGCCCCGCCACGCCCCGCAGTGTCACGTTTGTCACGACCGGGCGACCACCGCGCGGCGCCACAGTCGCTAAATCTGCCAGATCTACGAGCAAATTGTTTCCTATTCATGTGTCGAAACCACCACAGCCGCCACCGCCGCCGTGTTTTTATTTCAAAAACAGGAAAAGGAAAACATTCAGGTAAGCTTCCGGGCAAAACCATTAAAATTGAGCCCTTTATCATTGCAGTCGGAGGACTGTGCCAGAAGACCGGTGGAGGCGTTCGAAACCCCAGATAACGCGGAGTCGCTAAATTGGACTCGAATCGAACGTTACATCTCCACCAATGGATTGCTCTCGGAACGAGGAATCCATTGGTGGCGTCACACGGTCGGTTCGAGTCCCATTTAGCGTCGCTGGAGCTCGAAACGAGTCTAGAGTTTCGGCAGCCAGGGCCGGTCTTCTGGCCCACTGGAGGGCACAGTACGTAGAAAAGGCATCCTTCAAGTGTGTCGCGCCTTCACACTCACACGTCACACTAGAAACTCATTTGTCGGCAGTTCCGATCAGCGCGAGCTGGAGGGCCTGGAAGGCGCGAGACTCCCCCCCCCCTTCTCTCTCCCACGGCCAGGGGCCTCCAATCCCGCCGCGACAGTCAACAAATGGTGATTCGAATCAAATGGACCCTCGATGATGAATTCAGCTCTTCTTTCCTGGCTCACCGCCCGTCGCTGTGTCTCGCTCGCACTCATGAGTGCGTGATAGGAGGAGGGGGAGAGAGAGAGAGAGAGAGAGAGAGAGAGAGAGAGAGAGAGAGAGAGAGAGAGAGAGAGAGAGAGAGAGAGAGAGAGAGAGAGAGACGAGCAGAGCGGCTTGCTACAGAGCGGCCTGCTACAAAGAAAGACAGCGCTTTCGTCGCTCTGTCTCTCTCGCACTCGTGGAGCGTCCCGTAGGGCCGGAAGGGGTGCGAGAGAGACGGGCTGCTGGCACGCACTGGACGCTCTTTATTCACGATAAGATGACAGCGGCGCGCTCCAGCCTCGCTCCAGCCTGCAGGCCTGCAGCAGCGCGAAGTACGGCCGGCGGTCCGAGGAGTCCGAAGCGTCCGAGGGGCTCACAGTGGGCCAGAAGACCGGTGGAGGCGGTCCAAGTCCCGGCCGCGTTTTGAGCTCCAGAGTCGCTAAATGGGACTCGGACCGAACGTGTGACCCCACCAATGGATTGCTCGTTCGGAGAGCAATCCATTGGTGGGGCTACACGTGCGGTTCGAGGCCCATTTAGCGACTCTGGAGCTCAAAACGCGTCTAGAGTTTTGTCCGGCTCCGCCGGCCTTCTGGCCCACTGTGCGGCTAGGCGCGCTGGACGAGCACAAGCAGAGCGGCGGCCTGGAGCTCTGTCTGTCTCTCTCGCACCCCTTCGCAACGCCCCGTAAGTGCGAGAGAGAGCGCGCTGGGCCGAGTGGTCGCGGCGCCACCGCGGACCGTTTTCCGGCATAACTCCCCTTCCTCGCGTGGCGCGCCACGATCTTGATTCAATGCTCCGCGTTGGCCCCGACTCGGCCCGGCCCGGCCCGGCTCGGCTCGGCTCGGCTCGCATGCAGCACATACATGACTAGCACTCCCCGCGCGCCCTGCCGCCCTGCCGCCCTTCCACGCCAGCGTGCAGTTACAAGGCGCAAAGGTAGAACCTACTATTCGATACTGGGCTGAGACGGTGCGCTCTCTCGCACAAGCTCGCACACACAAACAGACGGACGGACGCTGTTGCTCGGACAAGAGAGCAGCCAGAATGGCGCGTAAAAAAGATGTAAGTCACGTCGTAGCGGAACTTCACTGCAGGAAATAACCACAACAAAAGTACACAAATTTCTGGCAAATTTTTTATCAGGTTTTTATTTTACTTTCAAAGTACAACAATTGTTGTACAAAGTACAATGGAACCGGCATGACGAGTGCTGGGCAGTGCAGGCCTCGTTGTGGTTTGTACAATTCTCGTTGTACTTTCTACAATCCCTGTTGTACTTTTATTGTACAGTTTTTGTTGTACATTTGTTGTACTATTCACACTTTTTCTTGCAGTGTTAAAGCCACAAAGCAGTGCACTCTGACCAGTAAGCCAACGTAAAATTCAAGTTAAAATAAAAAAAAAGTTTTTTGAGACTGAAACACCAATGGACTGCTCTCCGAATGAGCAATCCATTGGTGGGGTCACACGTTCGGTTCGAGTCCCATTCAGCGACTCTGGAGCTCAAAACGCGTTCGGGATTCTGACCGCCTCCACCGGTCTTCTGGCCCACTGTGTGCCGGGGCGTCGCGCGGGGGTGCGAGAGAGACAGATGGCCCGGCAGTAGGCAAGGCAGGCAAGGCCCAAGGCCGGGCGCCGCTCTGC